CAGACGAGTTTATCAAATTCACTTTTGATTAAAAGATTCAGAAGAAAAAATCTGCATAAATTAGAAACTCAATTGTAATTCGTCACAATTAACTTAAAACAATACTTCAAATGAAAATACTGAATCAGTGAGAAAAAATGTTTGATATGCAATTTATGCAAATTTTATCTTTTGAATCTTATGATTATAATTGAATAAATAGATACTAGCAATTAAAATTTAATTAATCGTTTTTAAGAATTGTTTTTATTAATAAGAAGGGTTATTTAGGAAAAAGTAAATGCTACCAAATATTGTTTACAGCTTTTTAATTATTTATTTATAGTTTTAGCATATTATCTTTTCTAAAGTTGTATGTTGGTCACAAAAAAAGACCAAAACAATCGAAACCAAAACAATGAATTTGTTTTGATTGACTTACTACGCATGCTGAAAGCCGTAATAAAAATTTGTAAAATAAATTATTTGAGCAAAATAATTGCATTTTTCAAACTTTTGTAATTTGGTAAAGTTAATTTTAAAAAATTGACTTGAAACCAAGGTTTGAAATTTGGCGAAATGTGAAAAACTGAATTTATTAGGAACTTTATAGTTCTGTATTACATTTGGAATTACAGAAAATGTCTTAGTGAGGATATTTTGCGATAAGTATATTTTAAAAATCATACTTAGTTAAAGTATAAAGTATCAAGATATAAAATGATAGTTTTTTGGAGCAGCAGTCATTTGAAAAATAATTTGCAGTGTTATTGCGGTTTATCATATGATTTACATCAAATAACATAACTATTTAATTTATATTAATAAACTAGCAGTTGTGGCAACTTGTTTCTTTTTCTTTGCTATCTTTATTCTTTCAATTTTTTCATCTTTATACTCGAAACCATTAATTTAAAAATGTAACAAATAAATCGAGTTTCAAGCAAAATTATCGAAATTCCTTCCAATAAATAAGTCATCAAAATGAACTAAGAAATAAAATGAAATAAGTATAGCTCGTTTAAATTGTATTCATTTTATTCCAATTTTAGCTTATATCAAAATTTTAAATGAATATTTAGCAAATGAGTAAGCATATTGCAAAGATAAGTTTAGAAATCAAACCCAGATAAAACATTACTATAAGTTTAGCATTAAAAATAATGATATTTTCGATGCACATTCGAAAAAGTTTTATCATCATTAGCATGTCATTCTAGCTTAGATAACAAATAATTTCTTCTAATCAATTAAATTCAATAAATATCAGAAATTTAATTAGTGATTTTTGAACAGTAATAAATAAAAGTACAATTTGAGTTTTATAAAGGCTAATAAAAATGTAAGCCTTTTTATGATTTGAAAGCAGATTTGAAGTTTCAAACACTTCATTTTTAGAAGACGCAAAAGAACGAAAGTTGAGTGTCTTTCTTTTTCCCAACCCTTATCATATTGAACAAGAACAGCAATAAAAAGCAATGAAACTTATCAGTTCTTATTCACATATTAATTTAATTAAAATTCTGATTCTTTATTTATCAAGCAATCACTTATGTATATGAACTTGCAATCAATCATGCTTAATTAATGCGCAGTGCATTCAATTTATTCATTTCAAATAATAGTTATTAAATAATTATCTAAATTATATTATTTTCATTTACTGCTGAGAAAATAGTTCTTGTAATAAAATGAGCAAACTTTTGCAAAAAATAATCTAAATAAACTAAGAATAATTCATTTCAATAAAAAAATCAAATGAAAATGACAATGAACATTATCATATCACAAATTATTACTCACGAATTTTAATATTCATTAAAAGCAGTTTATACTTGGGCAAAAAAATGCATAACAATAGAAATCTTTTGACGTTATAACAACAATGTAGAAATTAAAAATATGAAAAGCACTGATGAAACTTTAAATATAATTTAATTCACAAATTATTCTTTCATTCTATTTATAAATTCTGATATTTTTATTTTCAAACAAATCGAATATTTGCATGGAATATATAGTAATAACTTTTCTCCTATAAATACTCTTTTTTCTTGCTAATTCCCTTGTCAATAACAATGCAGTATTGGTTTTTGTAAAACAAAAATATGTGGATTGAACAGAAACTTTTCCATGCTAATTTTACACATATTTATACTATTAAAAAGAAGTTTTACACTTAAATTTTTTCAAGTTTGAAGATATAAAAGATAAAACAGAGAAGAGCAAATTAAGTTTACAATACATTTAAGAGATTGAAAACTTTTTTTCATAACGCCAACTTTTTGCTCTCGAATTCTAAATAGCATACTCTGAATACTGCTGTTAAGTAATTACAAATTAGATTAATGCAATAATAATTGCATATATATTGAGCAAGTAATCACTGCATTAAAAAATGACAAATGTGCTTGTTCATTCACTGATAAGAATAAAAAGATATAATTTTAATATGTAAGCAAATTCGCAAATACATGTGCTTTATGCTATAATATTTCTAGGTAAATCTTATTCGGTTCAAAAGTATTCATCGATATCAATATTTTTTCTGTACTATCATGACTTTCGTTTCCTTAAGAACATCATTAGAATAAGAATAAACAAATCAATCTCATTAGTCTCACTTAATGATAACGTCAAATTTTTTTTTTATCAGCAAATATTTTTCACCTCAGCCAAAATTTTTTGTTTATTAATCATTTCATTACTGAAAGCGAAAATGGAATGTTTTATAATCAGTCATAAAATTTATTATGCTAATATTTCATCAATCAATAGTCAACATGTTAAAGTTTGTATTTGATTAATTAATTGCAACATTTTTAGTGAGATCTGATGTGTGTGATTGCATGAGATAAATATCTGAAGTAATGCAAATGAATGAAAAATGATTCTTAAGAATTTATTCCCAAGTAGTAAATATCTGCTAACATTCTGCAACAATTTTTTTTCAGATTCTAATTAAATTGTTGAATTACACACATTGACATTTCTTTCAGATTTATGCATGAAAAGGATTATACTGAAAAGTAGAAAGACTTTGAATAAAATGCTTTTCTCATGAAATCTTTATTCACAACATGCAGTGTTAGTATCTTAATTTTATATTTCCAGTAAAATGTATCTGAACAGCCTTTCCGATTTGAACAGGACATCTTGTAGTGCTCCATACAAATTTCCATGATTATTTCATCTAATTCATCAATTTAAAAGTGAAACAATTACTGTATTTTTCAGGAATCGCACCAAATTTAACCAAGTTAAAATACTAATTTTCTGGCATATAATTTGAAAATTTTTGATTATTTGCTTGTGATTTTTTTTTGTTTAAAAAATATCTTACCATTTTTTTATTTTAAATTCAAAAATAATCTTTTGATAATAATTTATACTAAATGAAATTGGTTAAGTAATATGCAGTGGGAAGTAATCTGATGAAGTTTTAGTTTGATATTTATCTAGGTATGTGTTAAGATAAGAATTAATTACTATATGGTTGCTTTGAAAGAATTATGAATTAAATTCAACATGTTGAAGGAAATGAATAGAAATATGAAAACGCATGAATTTTCATGATCTTTATGAAAATAATAATTTAACGAACATAAAACTAATTTAACGAACATAAAACTTAAAAATTGAGAGGCAAAAATAGCGAAAGCGTTGAAACTTGAAAATGCATACAAAAATCATATGTACAAGGCAAGAATTCTATCAGTAATGCACAAATATCTTGCACCCAATTTTATGTTTTTGCTATCTTGCACAACCACAGAGTTGATTTTCAGTAGTTAGCAACCTATTGCATTATTTTTTTGAAAAAAACTGAAATGCTTAGATAATTAAAATGAGATGAACAAAACAGCTAAAATGTAGCGTATTAATTCAAAAACCTGACAGTGCGCAAACACTGCTTATTATGTTTGATTTAAAATTTTTCTATTGCAGGTAAAATCAGAAACTCTACTGATATTAAAATATCTACCACAACAGTTCATTACGTCTTGTTCAAGTTCTGTAAAGCTAGATATAAATGGGATCACGTAACATGGAGCTGTAAAATGTGTCCCTAAAATTTGTTTCATCGCCATTATAGTACTGATCACTGCGCATATAATTGTTATTGCTGTAATAAACATATGTAATAATTAAAAAATTGTATGCTTGCATAAACAAAAATCAAAACTGAAAAATATCAAATTTTTTCATAAATTTGATTTTTAATCATTAGGCAATAAAAATCATATGTTTTAAATGTGCAAATGTTTGATTATTATTATTCACATTTTCTAAACGAATTCACGAATGAAATTATGATTGCATCAATAATTTTTTAGATCAAACACTTGAATGAATAGAAATGGAAAAGAAATCGTACTGAAAAATAAAAATTACCTTTATGTTGTTTCCAATCTTACCTTGATCTCTATCACTCTTACTCTTAATTTATAAATTTTTTTAGTCCCGATTCATTAGTAAAGATAATAAAGAGATTATAAGTATTTAAAAATTACCATTTACGACAATTAAATAAATCAACTTTAGCTTCGGTGTTCTTTGCAAAATTCTGAAAATTTTATGGTATGATAATAGATTTGATTTGACTGATACCATCAAATGATAAAATTTTTCAGAGGGAAAAATTTGAAGAGTCTAAAATATGATACCAAATGATATAAAGTGAACTATGTATAACTTGATGAAGCATAAAATTGATTTGAGAGTAATTTAAGTTTCTAATTCAAGAACGACTATAAATAAATTACTGAATAAAAGTAGGTCTTATCCAAGTGTTTGTTTTTTCATCATAAGTAGCGGCACAAATGTATAAGCTGAACAACGATGGCAAGATAATGCATGTGCATGGAATCGTTGTACTGCCAAATAGATCCATTACTGAACCAAAATTTGGAATAGTCAAGCCAACAAACAAAATAAATGCCATTAAGAATGTTCGGCTTACCACTCGTTTTATTCCAAATTCTGAAGTATTATCCACATATGTAAGGTTTTTATCTTTAGCAAAAAAACTTCTGTGTTGAATGATAACTTATTTAATTTTTCTAGCGCAGTAAACAAATCAATAACCAAAGTTTTTTAAATTCCAAAATGAATTTTTTAGTTCGAAATTTGATACTATGTTTTAATAATTACAGTACGAATCAAAGTTGTTAATTATTGTATCTAAAAGTAATAGTTGTTTCAATTTGTATTTTACTGTGTGGAATGCGAAAAGTTTCTTCAAGCTGAAGATTCAGTGGATTAACAGTGATGATAATTGTTAGAATGCAGTGAAGTGCAATAGCAAGATCTGCGACGTAACGAATCCAAGTGGTTTGCATTGAATCAATGACAGAATTTTTGATGCTATTACCATAAATAATAAATGCGAAGATTGAAAGTGGCATATACAAAAGTGCTACCCCTTAAAAAAACAAGAAATATTTGCAAAATTTTCAATAAACAATTCTGCAATTTAATGACAATTTCTGCAAGAGGTTTACTTTTTTATTCCGCAATCATGAATTTAAGTTAAAATATTTGTAACATTTTTTATATTAACATGAACATTTCTGTGGGAAATACTGAAGATATTAAAAAGTGAAAAAGTTTTAGCTTCCGTTCCAAAATAAAAATGATTGAAAAAAGGAATCATTTTTACGAGAGCCTTTTTGGTTTCATAAAAATTTGATTACCACAGCTACAAAATTGTATAGCATAACCAACGATTGTTTTTAAGTGATATGATTTTTACAAAAATTAGAATAATTTTTTTAGTAAGTATTATGAATTATATTATTATTTCAAATGTCATGATAACTCACAAAAAAATCCTAAAAATATGGATTTTTTAAACTCATTTGGTTCATGCATGTCATTTTGAACTGTTGGAAAAACTTGATGACCATTGAATGCAAATAAAAAAAGGCCAAGACTAAGAACAGCATCGTAGGATGCAGGCGTATGATATGCTTGTGTATAACAAACACTTATATCGAGACTAACACCAACAAAAACTAAAGTAATAGCCAAAACCGTACAAGCAACGGCTGCAACGATAGCCCACCTGTAATTTTTTTTTTAAATCTCAATACAATTAATTTGATTAATGCATGAACCATTTTAAATTATGTAATAAATAGCAATAAAACTGTAGATATTTGTTTAAAAATTATCAAGTTATGATAAAACGAACCAATAGTCAGCAGGTGATTTTAAAAATGTTATAGGTAAGATTAATACTGCAACAATGATTATTAGCCAGCAAAAACTGAATTGTATCTCCAAATTGCCCAAAAGATTATGGAATACTTTAGATGATAATAATAAATATACAATTGCAGTACCAATAAGCGTTGAATGTACTAATAACTTTGTTGCTATTCTGAATTATACTTCAATAAGATAAGACATTACTGTTTTATTTTCATTTCATATTAGCCTGATTCAATTAGAAGTATTTATGCAATGAAAAAGAAATGGATCATCAATAATAATCGCATAGCTATTTTGTTTTTATTTCAGTTATAAAACAGCTAAGCTGAAAAAACAATAATATAATAACCATTTTGCAAAAATAGTTAAATAAGTTAATACTAAAATAACAAACGAATAAAGAAAACTTATCAAAGATTTAATCTGTTTTTGCTTCATACCGCCAAAAGCATTTAAAACCAAAAATTTGTTTTTTTTCTTCTTAACATTTCAAAATTAATAAATGTTTTTATTCTATTTGCTGCAACAGTTTGAAATGTTTGTTATAACTTGAAAAAGCTTTATTGTATAGTAGTGAGCACATAAAATAGATTATAAATTTATCAACAGCATTGATTTGAAAAGTATAAATTTGAATATCAAAGACTGAACTTCAAAACACAAAAAGACTCACTCAGCCGATTTACCGATGCTTATTAATCCCATCTCAGGATATGGCTGACGACAATGCAGTCGATATTCAGGAAAACGCTTACACATAATAATCCATGTATCCGCTAGTAACCAACCAGTTGTAGTAAAGAAAAAGCAGATTATAAACATAAAAATAATACCCAATGTTATACCTGAATAACGTTTGGTAAAAATTTTGCTTGTTTGTTTTTATGTACACTTTCCACGCATATAATTTGTAATTTGTCAAATTAAACTATCTTATTTGCTATTTATGCAGAGTAATAATAAATTTTTACAAGACTAAAACTTTCCACTTTCACCAAAGGCTGCAGGCATTGCAACGACTCCACCACCAACTAAATCAGCTACAATAAACACTGCAGCAACAATCCATCCAATACCGTGCTTTATTTGTACTGCTTCCAAATCTTTCAACTTCACTGGCTCGTTAATCATCTTAAAATTTGACACAATACCATTTCAGTTATTTTTCAGCTGCTAACTAATGCAATTTATTATATGTATATCCCCATAAGATTACACATATTAAATAAGCAATTGTATTCATCCATTTAGTGTTTTGTAATTACTGAAGCATGTAGCACTGATTTTTGACTGTAAAAAATTTGAATTTAAACAGACTAAATTTCATTTTATACTTGAGTGCAGTAAAATGATCATAAATTGAGTAAAATAGTGATAGTTTATCAGTATAGCTATACTCTTCAAATTATTAATTACTAAATTTAATCACACACTCTAAAGATAGATGTGCAAAATATTTGCGTGTTTATTTATTGAATAAAACAGAGAAGTTATTGACTTTAACAACTTTTTAGTCATTTCTATTTGCTTTTTTCTACAAAAAATGAATAGCTAAAAATGTAAAAAAATAATCAGTAATAGTAGTCGGATAATTATAGAAAAATAAACATTTATATTGAGGAATTAATAACAGTGTGGTGGAATATTATAATTTGACAAAAATCAATTGGTATAAAAGATTAATTAGCAAACATTTGGTCTCGGAAAAAATTTCCTTGAAATTGAACTTGAAGTGATCGAATTATTGATACTATTAAGTAATTTACTGATATATGTCACACTTTTTATCAAAATTTTCTGCTGTATTTATTCATTTATTCATTCATTCATTTCTTTCCATCAAATTCAATTACAAGATTTACATACTATGTATAAAGCTTAAAAAGTTACAATTATATGTTAAAATTATATACATTAAAAAGTTAATATTTCTCAACAATTTTTATTTCAGTAGTCCTTAAATTTTGTTGAAAAAAAACATTTTTTTACTTAATCGAAATCTCAATGTAAATGTTCAAATTCGTTTGGTAAATAGCTAACTTTATCACTTTGGGTTCAATTTTAGGAAAATTGGGCTTCAAAATATTATAAATCAGTACTTTTTTGTGATACAAACAGGTGGATCTCACATTCGTATGATAATTTCTTGCTTATTTCCTCGAATAAACATGCTATGCTATTTTACATAAGTTTATTTAAAAAATAAAAATAATGAAAAGATATAATTTACAAAAATTTATTAACTATTTGATCAATCGCAACTTTGTGCCAAATATTTTACAAAGTTCAATTTGTTTTTCATTTTTATTAGCTGTAACATTTATGAAAAATTTTTAAATTTTATTTTGTATACTTGAAATAGTATCAGTACTAACTTTTCTGTCTATCAATTATTTATTAACAAAAATTGAAATTCCTATTTTGATATTTAGAGGAAAAAATAATTGTCTTACTTCATCTGTATAATATTGTTCTACACTTTCACTGTTCACTATTTCTTCCGCCTAAAAAGTTTTTCAATTAATTTGAAAATGATTGATACTTAAAAAATTTGCTAAAGTGATATAATAAAAACATTTTAGCAACAAGACAAAATTTGTATTGCTATGGAATTGTAAAGTGAGTGTAAAAATGGGTTTTTTACTTTGAATTACATTTTGCTACTTTCATAAATAAAATAATAAAGCTTAAATTAATGAAAAAATAGCAGAAAATAAACCTTGCTACTTATACCATCAGATAGCGTTGTATTATTTTCTTGGCTGTTTACTGATTCAAATTTCTTCAAACGAGAATTGTTTTTTGTTAACTCATTGAAGTATGAATTAACGTTCTGTTTATTGCCATCTGAATTATCAACAAAATCCTTCAACATTCTAAAAATGCTTTCCATTTCATTCTTCTCATAACAAATGAAATATAATCAAATTATGATAATCCAGTGAGGAATATATTAAAATGAGCAAAAGTTCAAAAATATCAAATGATATCAGAGAAGCTATCAGTGGCACAAATAGATAACAAAACGCTGCTGAACGCTATCTTTCTTCTCCATATCATCAAAAGTCATAAAAATTGATTCTTGTTTATTGTAATTATTGAGAAGTGTTGACTGATAATCGGTTAATTTGAATAGCTATAAATGATAACACTAATGTACTTTTATTGTTGATTTTAAACTACTACTTTTATTTTTGATTTGTAATTAATAAAATTATTTTTGAGTTGAACTAGGATCAGTAATTTTTTTTTCTCAGAAATAAACCTTTTCAAAACCAGGAAATATGAATAATGATTTTCAGTACTGCAGAAATTAAGCCAATAAAATAAGCCTATCAAACTTTAGTTGCCATCTTGCATATATTCCATATTATATTTAATTAAAACACAAATGCTTATAAAACATATTCCAAAATATTGCAAACAATGTAATTAAACGAAATTCGCTTAATCATTGAAATTAGCAAGAAAAGTTCAAAAATTAACATTGAATTTCTGTTGGATGAGGATTTTGGCAAAATTCAGATGCAATAGCAGTAATGTGATGATATCGAAGAATCGCTTTTTTTTTAGTTCTTGGAATGAAATATTTCTATGTAAATAATTGCAGTAATGAAATTCCTGCGTGATTAAAAATATATAGCGTTTATTGCAATGTGCACAAAGATAGTTGAATTAATTCCAAAACTACCAACTTAGAGAGTTAAAAATATTTCTGCGCAATAATTTGATTAATTTAGACAAAAAAGTATGCATAATTTATTACTGACTCAAATGCACAAATTAAACCGTTCATGAAATAATTGATTAGAATGTGAAATCTATACTTTACTGCTTGTTCTTGTTGAAGTTTGATTTTTTTTGTCAGCTACTGTAATAGCGCTCAAATTGACGATATGTAACATTAATACTATTTGGTATGATATGATAAAGTATACTATAACATTCAATCTATATGATATCGAAGTTCATGAGTTTTGGAGCACAATTATTAATTCTGGGAACAAATGATGTCTTTGACGCTGTTTTCCATCAGTAGGCAACAATATTCGTACCAACTTGAGAAATATAATTTACCTGGAAAGTTGGAAAAGTTTCGCAGACAATTTTATCAAAAATTTCATTATAATCCTTTCTATTATAAAATTGTGTTTGCTAGTTATATGGTATATAATATTATTCTGCATAATTTAAACTATTAAATTCAAGATGAACAAAACAGTAGAAGATTAACAACTTTTTTATTGCCAGTATCGGTTCACTCTCACAAATTTGCTTACATACTGATGCGAACGGTAGGTACTGAATCCTAGGCATAATTACTTACGTACATTATAACCTATATAGTTGTAAAGCAGCCTGCTCTACGTGGTAACAACAATGTCGAAGTGCCCGAAGTATTAGTAACGAAGGGTCGACTGAAATTTTCCCATTTAATTTTAAAGATTTTACTTTATTAATACTACCCTTAATTTACACCACTTTCTACGACCATTAAAAAAAGTGGTTCAGAAGAGCTTAGACAAAGACGATCATGAAATGAATAAGAAAACAGAGATAAAATGAATCAACACCTTGAACAACTTAATCTAGTTTTGTACTGATATATAAGATTACTTACATCACTTCCATAAATTCTAAACTAGGTCTTTGCCTAACTTGGAAGAAACCCATTAACCAAAAATTATTACAACCAATTAGAAAAACACAACCTAACTAGCTGCACCGAGCCGTACAATAACGGATACTACTAATTCTTGACAGTTTGTGATTCGCATTCTTCCAATGCAATACATAGATCCGGACTTTATTTTGGAAATACTGATATAGGGTTCGACTTATCTAAGAAAAAATCACACAACCAAAAAAACTTAAAAACACTATTTTAAATCTTAAATTCCTTACTCGTAACTTCCAATATCAAGTCCGATACAAAAAGAAAGTTTTATTTATTTTCCGAAAAATTTAAAGCAATACTTGAAAAGCAAGAATAAAAATGCATTACGACCGTATAAATATAACCAAATATATCAATTACGAAATAATATTAAAAGAAACATAGTCAATATAGAAGGTTTTAGACAAAAATTAAGAAATAATCAAATATTTTGAGAAATAAGATATAGTCAAATATGTAGGCTAAATAAGACATCTTTCTTGCTCAGAAAATTCTTATTTTTTGTATGTACTGAGTTGAATAAGAAATTTATCACAACGAAATTAAAAGTGGAAAATCAGAAACAGTATTTTTTTATAATAGGTTAGAACAAATTTGGATCTTGGGATACTTTCAGGATAAAATTACGTTTTCAAAATATTAGTCTACATTCAGCATGAGTACTAAAATTTTCCTAAAACACAGTCTTCGACAACAAACTATCAAACTACAACACTGTATAAGGAATACACGTTTCTTATACAAAAATAGATGTCACTTTGCTATAAAATCTAATAGATCGTTAAGTACTACAATAATAACTGAGACATTGTCACCACATCCTCGTTTTACCGATTCCGCTGCCAAATCGTCAGCAATATTTTTCCAAACAATTTCTCTTGTTTCTTCCTCTGCATCGTCACGCTAAAACAGAAACCAGATATGAATATACTATACGTTTATCACTATATAATTGCACCAAGTAGCAAAACCTTTCTTGGCTGCTTTAATCTCTCCGTGACGTAATCCACTGCTTCTTGATTACTGAATGTTTTCCATAAGCCATCGCAGGCTATCAAGAGAAATCTGAAATGCTACAGTTGAACTTATATTCCCTAGTCATTTAATTACATTTATCTACTTTAACCATCCATTTTAATAAAAATTAACCGAAAAGGACCAGATATTCTGCAAAAAAAAAATGCAGCCGCAAGTAATAAAATGTCAGCAACTGCATGATTAAGAATTATCCCAAAAAAACTACTGAAAAATACATATTCAAACCATTTCCGGAACGCAAAACTAACATATCATTCTTCGTAATAGAGAATTTTTTCACATCAGGAGTACAGACTAGTCCATACGCCTTAAATTGACCATCCCCAATTGATCGAGAAACTTCAAGAATACCCATTATACGACCATCCCTTCAATATTTGATTTCAAGAAATAAAATGCATAAGTAATATAAAGAAATTTCAAGAACACAAATTACATATCCTAACAGGTGAAAATATAAAACTTACTTGACCTTTCCGCCTGCTTTTTGAATCCGCATCCGCTCTTCAAAATGTAACGGCGAATGATCTACTGTTAACTGCAGTGCAATATTCTTTACTTCATTATTTTCAGATTTATTACGACAAACGACTGCCTGAAAATTCTCTCAGTTGGTAATGTTTTGGTTAATAATCTCATGAGAATGATTAAAGCTGAATTACTTTTTGTATATTTGACATGCCAAAACTTAAAACAACAAAAACCACAAAACAATTAAAATTAGCGCTTAACTAAAAATATACACATTCATCTTATTATATATGTAAAAATTGCAAAACATGTTTGCTATTCATGATTTTAAAAAAGTTGTTCGCATCTCTTCAAGTACAAGAAAATGTAATGAAAATTGTTAGTCGTGAACAAAAAAATTTTAAATAAAAGCAAATTACAGAAGTATATAAAACGTACTAAAGTGAAAATTTTTGAACTAAATTTGAGAAATTTCTAAAATTTTTTAAGAATATAAAATGTAAAATAATCGTTTCTGGAACTGAAAATAAATCGAAACGCATTCATCGAGTACCACAAACCTTGGAATCGCCAATATTTGCACAATAAATAACGCTGTTAACAAGTAAAATCGTTGTTGCCGTTGTGCCATCTTTCCAAGAAGGTCTTCTTGAATGGTATTAATTTATTTGTGTAAAAATAAATTGATTTTTGCATGCATAAATAAAAGTATAAAAGAACTAACGTCCTACGAGCTTCAATTAAAAACCGTTCATCGACTTGCTTATACGAATCGACGAAACATTTTTTTATTCCTCTCTCCAAAGCATCAACATCGGAACCTGAAATTACACTTCATTTCATGCCTAGTTTGCAACTGAAAACCGTTCATCGACTTGCTTATTACGAATCGACGAACATTAAATATTGAAGTTCATTTCACGAAATTTGAAGATTGATACTATAACCGGAAAAGAATCACTGAAATGAGTAAGCATAATTGTTGCTCTAGAAGTATTTCAAGACTAAAAAATCCAATTTACTTAAGAATTTTAATTACAAAGAACAACTTGTTATTCCACTTCAACAATAGAAAAAGGAGCAACAAGTCTTTTGCATTACAACTACATATATGGAAAATCATTTCTTTTCGGTAACTTGATTTGATATATATACGCTCAGATAAAAATTCTAAAAAAAATTTGAGGTCTAAAAATTACAACTGTTTCGACTTAACAGTTGACTCCGTGGTCACTAAACTTCAATTTAAAACTGTTACAAATATCGAAAAGTTTATAGCTTACAAAAATCAAAAAACTAACAATACAGCAATTTCTTCTTGATTAATGGTGGCAAATGTTCAGCAGCAAAATCTGCAGCTCGACGTCCAGCATGTCCATCAAATATCGCATAAAACGCGCTTCGTTGACTAAAAACAAAAAACGGTTTGCGTGAAATTGAGTCAGATTGGAAAAATTCATAGTTTTGTGTCGGTTGTGATTACATGTTACGGATGGAGGTAAGTTCAAACTGATCCAGTCGAACATGGGCATCTTGCATATCCTGACGTTCACCCTTTCTCCAGCCACATACGCTGACCAATGTACTGACTGCAACCAAAAACTTCATTTGACTAGTTTTGATTTCCAAAAATATTATATAGTAGACATAAACAATTTCTTCCAGATCGTAAGGAAATGCAATTCAGAAGCCGAAAAACTCAACAAACTCCTAACAAGCAGTGATATGCAATGCAGTATCTCATGAATCTTTCCTTCACTATGTACCTATATTTTGATACCTAAATGCAGCGTGGAACGGCCAAACAAAAGACACGCCTTTTAAGAGAACGAAGCAATCGTCCACCTACCAGCACCGTCATCTGCACTAGTCTCAACTGAATGCTCGGAAAGTGCACTTTCTTCCCGCATTCTTTTGCGCTCACTAGGATCAGGTTCGCTCTTCGAAGCATGTTCATCAGATGAAGTTTCAGGCTTCTCCGCGCCGTCCAAACCACCATCCAAATCACGATAGAGTGATATCATCAAAGGAGGCACCATTCTTCTTTTCATCGCCATTTCACGTTCAGAACAAACTTAAAATTGCATAATTCCGAAATGTACTACAAACACCATTCGTGACAAAAAACAAAGTACAAAAGAAATAGAACATAAACGAACTTCTGTTGAAACTGCTACTATTATTAATCGTTAATTGCAACCAAAAGAGGAACAACTGCAATTAAAACAATATTCCATAATTTCAAGATTTCTGGAGCATGTGAAAGATAGTTTGACGAGCTACAAACAGATACAGATAATGAGTCCCTCATATTGCGAGGCCACACTGCCCGTGCATGAATAAGTATACTATTGCTGGATTTATATTTGTAAATAAAATAACATAGTAAGGAAGCAATAAATCAAAAGAGAATAATAGATTATAATAAAGTGCCAATCTTTGATGTAGAAAACTAGTAAATCATATAAATTAAAATAAATGAAGGGAAATAAATCGGCTATTTAATTACCGGTGATAAATCACAAAATCTATACCTTTCAGCTTTCAAAATATTTATACAACAATAGTATCATACAAGTGTTTTAAAATATATGGAAGCATTACTAAAAACCAAAAGATTAGTGACAATTATAAATCGAAAACCACAGTGCAAATTCATTTACAATGAATTCGAATACGTTTTTTGCAGGAAAACATACCTTTGCACTGTGATTTCTTTTAAGTGCTAGATTCAAGAGCAATCAAGTAAATATCGATATCATCTCATTTTACTCCTGGTTTTTCCCTTCCTCGTCCATGTTGAGAACCACCACGCCCACCACCACGAGCACCAAAGCCACTTCCTCGAGCCTGCATCATACCAGTGCGGGCTCCTTGTAAATTACGCTTATTTTTTTGATTGTCTTTCTGCTGCCTACGCACCTCTTTGACCTGACAATACAAGACTAACTTTTTTTGGAAAATTATACATGCAAATAGGGATCAAAAATAGAAAAATATCCATCACTTAAAAAAGTTTTTTGGCCCATTTTTATTTTATTTGCTGAACTACTTTGAAACATTGAGACACTCTAAAAAATTAATGAAAGCAACAAGAGCTTTTAGCAACGATCAAAATACCTCTTCCTTCACTAAATCAACAACATCGTCTGGAATTCTCAAGTATTTGATCGTCGAACCTCGAACATACACTTCTTGTAGTTTTAAAAAGTGGTCTCCATCCTTGAAAGACAAAAATATTTTTGGTAAAAGTATAGACTTCTTTCTCTTTTACAGTTGTATTAAAGAATAAATGGTTTAGCAAATAAAATACTTTTCTCTCACTATTTTAAGCTACCCAACTTTATTAAAAATTACTGAAGCAGATTGTTGAAATTCAGTTTATTTAATCTACTTGCTCATCATAGTAATTAATCTACATCATTACAATATGTAAACTATGAGAGGGATAAATAGCCAAAATAGAAAACTTACACGTGAAGTGCAGATCGCATCTCTTAAATGGATGTTCATCCATGCATCACATGCAACTAAATGCCCATTGTAAGTTTCGCCACTTTTAAGCTCAACTAACATCGGATGATTTTGCGCTGACCGCAAAAGTGATAACGGCAACTGGAAATGTGGAGCGCTGCATGTCATAAGAACATCAGACAGGAACAATAAAAATTGCATATTTTTAACCCTATTTATATATTTTACTTGAAACATGCAAATTATTGAGTTTGCAAATGCTGATAAATGAGGAGTTGACATTTACAAAGAATGACATTTACGAGCAACTAAATCTTGTACCTGCTAAAGACGGTGAATCACTTAAACTTAATGACTGACAAATACTTTGTAAAGAAGTAATACTTACTACCATTGTTTTGAATATTGTGTAATGAGAAGTTAAATATAACAGTCAAAAAATAACTGCACCTTTTCCTGAAAGTTAAAAAGTATATAAAGATGTGGTGCAGAAAATGTCACGAATTTTACAACGTAACTGACAAAATTATTAAAAATGACTAAAAGCAATTTGATAACAAACTGTTGTACCGACACATATTAGAATGAAAAATTAAAGGAATGTAAATACGAACAAGCAGGTATGGATCACGAGTTTTTATGAGTCAACTATTAACTTTAAAGTAGCCTTTAATTTTACGGTATACTTCAAGTATGTGGATACTTTACTTGATATGTTACGTAGCTATAGCAGACGTGATTACCTGCAATTATTTTACCCAAACACATGTCTTTAAAATTAGATATCAAAAATATTATTCACAGGACAGTATGTACTATTTTTCCACATGGTAATCGACTGTAGAAATCAAAGCATATTGATTGTATCAAAACAAAAATTTATTAAATATATGGAAAATGTTTTTTGTATCAGTGCGCTAAAAAACATAATATGGAAGCTTGACAAAGTAAAATGTTCACTAACATGAATTTTTTCACTAACAAGCATAAAATAAATAATTTTTTGAATGCATTAAATGATGAAATGAAGATATCAGCTATAAATGATGCGCAAAATAAAAGGAACTACAAATGCGGGCTAAAAAATACTAATTAACAGTAATATTTACAACTGTCTTCAAGACAATTCCTAACAGATTCTGATAAGCATTTGTATTTGCGAAAAAATGACAAGTTAAGCCAAGTTGGCCATTAAACTACGAAATCTCTCGACAGCTTATTTCTATCTACCTTTTGAAAACATATACCATATATAAGACCACGTTCAAAACTTTCCTAAAGGATTTAATTAACCAAAAAAGAAGCATATGAATATCAATAACCTTAAGCAGAATATATTAGTAAGCATAAGTCCAAGTTCGAATACTTCCATGACATAAGGTTTGCTGGACTCGCTGTGTGATTATGAAAATCGATGTCCATTATTGAATGAAATAAGCATACTCATTTCAAAAATACTTTACGAAGAGTTCTTCGGAAGAGAAAGAACGTGTTGAAGTAATCATGCTTTAGTAGTGCTTTAGACATTAAGAAATTCTAAAAACCTGCAGATGCTTGGAATTCTAAACAATAATCATTTTTGAGTCACAATTTCATCGAAGAGAAATTTGAGTGAAATATTCTTGTGTACTGCACTTCCTACTAATTTATATCTAACCACGAAAATGTTCAACATTTAATCGATAAATGAAGTGTTATCCAGATGAATCGCGAGAATTATGATTTGTGTAAAGCATATTCAGAAAGCCAAACACAAAAGCTTTCTCACATAAGTTTAAAAGTAATTTTGGGTAAGTAAATAATTTTAATGAATATAGTAATTATATGAGGATTTTGTTTTCTTCTGACTAAATAATAATATGACATCACTAACTTCTGCATCCGTCGTAAAAGACAGAATCGCTTACAGTACAGTAGAATAGAAGGCAATGTCTTGAAAAATAATGCAGTATTAATCAGAAAAAACATGTTGCCTAAATATCTTGCAAAATGATCTTTGGCATCAAATAGGAAGAAAATAGACTACAGAAGTACGAGAATTATCTAGTAAGTTGAGAAGTACCACATATATATATTTAGTTTGATACCGTTGTTTCATTTTACTTTAGGGTATTGATTTCTAATATCTAGCTTTGAATTTATGACAGAAAGACAAAATACTTATTTTGTCTTGAATTACTTTTATAAATGCATATTAAATATCAGATATAATTTACATGTTACCATTATCGATAGTTGATTACTTTTGACCTTACAATTTTCATTTTTCAGTGCCTGTTGATGTGTTGATTGCGCAAAATATAGCGTTTTTTATTGCTGAATTAATTACAAATAACATCGAAAAAAACTCCCCTGCAACAATTCTTAAAATAATTTCGCATTTGTTACATTCCTATAGTTTTGACACTCAATTTGAGAATACAAGAGTAATTACCAAATCCTACAATTATAAATTACAAAATTTATTCTACAGTAATCTTTAAAATATTTGATTACATATCACTTAAATAATGTCACGTTAAAATGATGGTATTTTTAGGAACCATAAATGAGAAGCGTCTAGTGAAAAACATATCTAATAGGTATACCACCATTACAACCTTATTGTTATTTTACGTGATTTTCGAATAATGTATTGAGATAATAAGACAAAAGATTAATTACACTTTTAAACAATAAAAATATGCCATTCATGTTTATTGAAGAATAAACAAGTGATAAAATTTTCATACTTGATATACTAATTCGTTATTCTTGCGCACACAAAGAATACTGTTTTGCTATGATGATATTAAATAAAATAATTAATTTAGTGTTATTTCAATGTATGTATAGGTTATGATGTGTTAATCGGCGGAAAAATGGTGATGGCAGACTGTAGGCACATCGTCTGTAGTACAAATCACTCCTTAAATTGCAATTTTCCAGTAATATTTCATCCTAAAATATTTATCGCAAAACTTTTATCACAGATGTAAATTTAAAAAAATATAAAAGTATTGATGAAGAGCAAATAGATTTCATTTGATAAAAAATAACGAAAGCTAATAAAAGTATAAAACTTTTTAATATTGCCTGAAATTTGCTGCTTCAAAAATTAGCATTTCAGTAAGAATCAAAATTGTGAGCAGACTAAAGTAATCCTAGCTAGTTATCTATCAGTAATAACTATTCATAAATCAAAGAATTTAAAACTGTTCTTATATTTTAGTTATCTATAGTTAATTTAGTTATACAGCAATCTCTAAGCTGATGCTCTTTTGTATCAGAAAATTTTACCAGAAATTGGAATTGCAAATTGTACACTCCTAAATCAAGTACTCTCAAAGCTCGATTTCCAGTATTTACATATCGTTCTGGTACTTTTATCACAAATGTGCGCCATAATTTGAACTGAAATTTGTTTACAAAATATATTCTTCCTGTTTTGACTACGAAGCAAAGAAGTAATACTTTTATTCGCAAACTTGTTTTATCAATAAATTTTTATTTTAAAAAATATTGCCAAGTAATTACTTTCATTATATGCTAAGCAGAAAAGTTACAAAACAGTTTTTTATGCATAAATGCGATTACAGCAAACAGTAATGACAATTTAACCTCTGGGCGATATTCACTAATTGAGTATTTTTCGATCTCACAGCGATGATATACATAAAGATATGGCTTAATTACCAAATGTTGTTGATAAGTTGCAGCAATTACAAATTCTCCAAATTCATTTGTATTTGTCCTTGCGAGATATGTATCCATGGAATCTATGAGTTTTTTTTTTCGCCTAATTCGTGGCTTTTAGTCAAATTGCAAGTTGATAAAGTTAGATAGCCGTAGAAATCAGAATGAGTAGTAAGTCAAAACAAGCTAATTAATGTATAAATAGTGTGCAGCAATTTTGTCTATTTTACCTCGCTTCTGCATCAAAATGTAAAATGCAGATTTCCATACTGATTTGTCATCTTTCCAAACTTCTACAGCTGCTCGATGTATTACTTCACTTCCACATATAAACTTTCCACGAATTTCGACGGATTGATTTCTATTAACAAAAGCAAAAACGACACTAATTTGCAGTATAAATAAATTTAAAAACTTGAGAGACATGTCTGAAATGAGTTTGATTCATTGCTTATCACGTGATAATCTACTTAATAGTTCTCAAGTGATTGAAGAGCTGAAAGTTTTACATAGCCTATTCTACCTAAAGATGAAGTAAAGTATAGATAAGATGCGTTATATGCAATGGAACAGAATGATCATAGTTTAGTAAATATAGCATGAAATAAAATACTGAATACTGCGCATGGTTTCATCCTCATATTTAGAAACCAAAAAAATTGATGGATAATTTAGTAAAGATACTTCACTTCACTAATTTTGCATGAAATCAAAAACAAAGAAATATTAATAATTAATACTTCAAATTTAACAAGTTTACCACATAAGCCATTTCCGTATTATATTGAATTTAAAGGATAATTAAATCTAGCATATTTACATTAATACAGAAATAAGTGACAATGTAGTTATCAAAACATTTTTTGAAAAAAAATTATAGATTTTAACTTAGTCTCAAAATAAATTATCAAGAGAAAATACGGTTAAGGTTATTAAATTTCAATTATTCATGAATTGAAACATTGGATTTCAGTGTAAAATACCATCAATAAATTTGTTCATTACTTTTTTTTATTTAACGAATAAATAACTTACTTAAATCATAAAAAAGTAAAACTAAAACTTAAGCATTTTCTCGCTAAATTTTTGAATTAAAAAGTTCTAATTTGTTGTTCCGAGACTGGATTGATGCATAACGCATTCAAAATCTAAAACTTAACATGCATAATCAAAACAATAATATGAATATATTTAAATAGCTGATTCTGGATTGAACCAAGTCTCAATTATAATCATTATTTGGTTATTAACACTTTTACTAAATCCTTCTTCATAAAATTCGGTGAATTTTCCATGAACGTTGCAAAAGTGGTGAATCTTGTGAAAACATAGATGGACATCGCTCAAAATGTAATGTACCACAACCAACCACAATATCTTCTTCCTGAAGCACTTCGATTACATTTTAATTTTTTGCAAAAATTTGAAAATGTTTCTTCCCTGTCATTACTGATTATGATTAATTTGAGTATAACGAATAGTTAGCAAATTTTAGAGCTTTTTGAAGTGGAATACATTTGTATGGTCAGTTTTGAGTTGAATATTGCTGCGATCTAACTCAAATTATCAATTGTTGCAAATTATTATTTACAGATTTCTATTCTTTTTTTTATTAGTATAAATTATTGTAACTAAAGTACCCAACTTTCAGTTTTTTCCTTTTAATTATGCAACCAAATGTCAGTCGAGAATAGTTTCTATACTTACTAATTGTTTCACATTATACTTCAGATAAGCAGTTAAGTATTCAAAAACCCGATAGAATAATAGCCTGATTCTGAAATATGGTGAAAAATTAATCATATGATTTGACAAGAGTTAAAAAAATAAAGCATTTACTAAAAATCGAGATTGTAAATTCCAAACTCCTAAATTAAAACTTTGTTTAGCAGTGTCTCCAAATGTTGCATATTGTTGTGGTATGCGTAATATAAATCTTCTCCAACTTTCCGTCTGCAAAAAAAAAAATTTGAAAAGTTGTAAGTAGTTTATTTATCTTTCAGTAAATAATGTCAAAGGCACAAGCATATTTGTGACATTCACTCAATAAGTTAGAAAATAAATGAAATAAGAACACTAATGATTCAAATTAACGTATTATTGAATTCATATTTAGTATGGAAAGAAATCAACGCAATAAAGTATAAATCACTATTTGCTATACTTAATTACAACATATTAGTGTAAGCCATGGAAGCAACAAACTTCATTTTTCTGGAATAGAGTGTAATTATAGTGATTTATAAGTTCACACTGATGATATACGACTAAATATAGACTTAATGCAGTAATCTCTTCATGAGTAGCATTAATTACAAAAGCGCCATTTTCATTTGGGTGGACAGAAGCAAGTTTGTCATCAGAATCTTCACCTTAAAATAATGCATTCTAAATTAACAAAATAAAACCAATATTTAAATGATAAAATGCATTATACTATTGCAGTTTACTTTGATGATAATTCTTCTTGTAAATTTGGTCAAATAGTGAAAAAAAAAGTCAGAAAAATATTTTCACTACTGTAATATCATACATTAATTTAGACAATTTAAAATTCAAAATACATTGTTGGAATTTAAAATGACTTTTAAATTTTTAAAAGGTTTGTGCAATTTTACTTTCAATGCTAAGATATTGAAAAATAGAGTTTAACAGTGGAAAATCTTCTTCCCACAATTCAATCGTTGCATTACGTGGAATTTCTTCTCCACACGTGAAAATTCCTTTTACTTGGATTGATTGCTTCCAAAATGCTGACAACTTATCGATAAAGAACAACGATGAAATGAGTGTTAAGCACAAAAGCATTTGTGAAATGGAGCAGTTATGCAAAATTCTTCTTATTTATCCAAATATTTTGTTAATGCTTAAATCTTAAATTTAGAAATTTCAGATCACAATAATAATCAATCTTATTTGATCTGAAAGGATTAATTTCATTTTCACAGAAAATGGAGAATAATTGAAAGAAAGTTATTGCAAAAAATTGATAACTGATAGCAGCATTTTTATATGGCTAATGAAAAGCATTTTATTATCATTCAAAGAACTTCATTTTCATACATTTTTATTTCAAAGATATTACCAACAAGGAATTTGATAATCAAATAAAAGTTAAATTTAAATTAACAGTACTAAGAATGTGAAGAAAGCAATTCGTTTCGAAGCCAAAAAATAGTAGAAAGCTGCAAGTTCATATTTTTGAAACTTAAAAGTGAGAGTTTTTAACATCTAAATATTAGTATGTTTCCTTTTAAGGTACAAAATAAATTAAAGTTAATTAGCTTTTATTTAACATGTGTTAAGATACGTGGTACTCGCGCTGTTCATCCTGAAAGCAATAGACTGATTTTTTTTTCATAGATTGCTTTTTTAGATTAAATTGTAAAGCACATTTTAGTAACTTCATCATATGTAATATGAGTTCCAACTTTTGACTAAAAATCTTTTAGTAAACTTTAAATAAATAAGCTTACAAGATAATATACAGAAATTCTGTTGTAAAAAGATTAAAAATTAATCAAGTCATCTGGTTTTGAGAAGTTAAAATTAATGAAAAAACTTTAAGTAAAAAGACATTTGTATTCTACAAATTCATTAAAACAAATGATTCACTTTAAAATAGATTTAAAATGGAATACTTACAGGTAGTATTACTTCTAAATTGAAAACACCCAAGTCTAAAATTTTTTCAGCATACTGACCATAGTTTGTAAAATGACTAGGAATTACAAAATGAATTTTTCGAAAACCAGGCTGAAAAAAACAAGAATAAGCAAATTTCACATACTAATTATGCTATATGCAAAAGTTTGGTTGAAAATACAAAACAAACCATTCCATATAAAAGACACTTGTGGTAAACTTTCAAAATTGGCTTTATTTGCTCCACTTCTATTGTAGTACCGTGAACGAAAAATCTTCCATCTTGATCAGTATAGGTTTCATTCAGAAGATCTTCATGATTTGCTACTGAAATATCTAATGTCTGTTTATTGCAATTTAAATATTCTACAAACCTTATCAAGCATTACTTTGACAGTAACGATTATATGCAAAAATTATAAAAATCGCATTCTCTTATTTGAAAAATTTTTGCATGCTTCAAAATAATCCAATATTAGAAACTAATACTGATAATTGGGATAAATAGTAATTATAATCACTATCAATGTAAGAATTGATTATTTTAGGGGATAAAAGTTGGAGATAAAAGTTTAAAAGTAAAGAAGAATGGCTTCATTAATGACCTGCAATGTAAGCATTTATATTATTTGGTTGTTTATAAACATTTGCAAAGTTGTAATCGTGTTCAAAAAGTTTTACTCGAGCTCCAACTTCTGGTCGTTGTCCACACAGAAAAATTCCTCGAACTGCACTTGACTGCACCATATGTTTCACTTGTGAATTATTAATTTTAGAAAATAGCAGAAAACTTGACAATATCATAAGCAAAGTACCAAACATTCTGAAAAAATTATTAAATAATTTTCAGAAACAATTACGGATTTAAAATAGTGAAATATATCTTTAAACGAGTAAGATGTCACATATAAATTTCCTGATGATAAAAATGATAATAATTGATATGCATTATTATTACTTTATTTGTCAACAGCAAAGTAATCTAATCATGTCATATAATAATGATTTTGATATCTATAAGCAAAATAATAAAATCAAAAATATCTGCGGTTTATTTTGCTAGAAAATTACAAAAATGGTAGTAGATTAGACTTCAGAGAAAAACTGCTAAATTTTGTAAGAAATTTTTGAGAAGAATAGTTTTCAGTAAATAATATGAAGTTTTTGTTCACATAATTTTTATTAATTGTAATAAACAAATTATATACTAAATAATTTTCAGAAATCTTATCTAGATAATTATTATTGCATGAAAACGTATAATTACTAAAAAATCACAGTGAGGTGAAATTTCTTTAAAATCACGCCATATTGATAAAATATAACAAGTAAATAAAATAAAACAAATATATTTGAAAAATGTTGACTTAAATCTTTTAAACTTGAAAAGTTTTAGAGTAACACTGAAATAATAAATGAACAGTTTTCAGTTATCTGGAAGATTAAGTCTATTCGCATGACAGGCAAGAGTAATTCTAGAACAGACCTTAACAGCAGATATCTAGTGAGCTATGTAAATATTTACAAAGTATCATCTGTGGGTTGTTGAGAGGTTAGTTAGAAAAGTTGAATACGTGACCTTTTATCTTATGAGACATCTCAACATACAAAAGATGATGGCTATGTGCTGGACTAACTATGAATGCATTTTTCGTATTTTAGAAAGAACCGATTTTTTAGTTATTTTTTTTTCCTTAAAAAGAAGCAATGCAAGTACAAATGTTTAAAAGTAATGTGTGCATAATAATCACAATATCAATCTAAGTGCATATCAGTAAAGTTATTGATCAAGAAGAAAATTAGTAAATTTATAGAAGAAAATATATTAATTGAAGAAATCAAAAAATGATTGAATTTTTCTGAAATGCACAAGTTAGATGCTTTTAACTTAAATCTCAGTGGGTCATAAGTAAAGCATCTTATCAAAGTAACAGTACTGAAACGAATACTCATAGCACTAATCTCAGCAGGAATAAATCTTTATTGATCAGAAGGATATTTGCTTTGGACAGAGTGCTACAATTGCTTTGTATGACCTTCGATGATCTGTGATATTTCCTATATGTATACTTCCTCAATTTTTATAACAGCTGAGTAATAAGGTGTGTTCTTTATGCTTAATTATATGACTAATCTTATTCACGGCACCATTATTCTCATCATTTACGTGATATAAAGTATGAATATTATCAGCACTAATGAGAATGAGTACAAATATCATTATTAATATTAGTATAATGATTACAAAACTAATATCCTTGTGTAATGATCATTATTATCTTTTGTTTAAAATAATTTTAATGCTCCTTACATCAGTTTTTTAAGATAACATTTATGTTGTGGTTCTCATCATAATGGAATATTTACTGCTTTTACTTTACTATCAATCTTTTCAAATTTATTATTACTATACCAGTAATTGTGTGATATTTGACAGCTTTTTCGAGCAGCTCGCTTTACTAAAAAGATAGCTTTTAAAGACTGCTTTAAATTGCTCTTCAGCTTAAGAGTGTAGTTCAAGTTTATTTTCATAAACTTACCTTAGAGAACCTTTACTGATTGAAAAAATTGACAAATACAGGTCAGGATAAGTTTTGAAGAATACTGAATTGAAATTTTTTCCTCCCAAATCTTTGATATTAAACAACAAAATAAAATCAATTAAATCAAAATTTTAAATTATAATTGAATTCAATTTTAATTTCGAATGAAAAATTTGAATTGCTACGCTATTTTAGAAAATTGTCACTATAGTAGTGCATTTTTATATTATTGAAGTCCATAAAAAGTATTTGACTTCTAAATTCATCGTAATTTTTGGTGCACATATTTGTTATTAATATCACAATGCAAAAACTAGTCTCCAATTATATATTACTACCTCTTATTTTCATGATGGGAAAAAATTTGCATATTGACTCTATATAAATCTTAGCGCCACAATGCTTGAATTAATTTTTTCGAATATAGTTTATATGATTTAGCCGTTTAAGAATATTGATGGTGTGGTGATGGAAAGTGAGGTACTGAAGAGACGGAAATTGGCAGGTGTCAATTCTTTTGTCAATGCACGAAGACTTCATTTTAAACCTATCAAACCGTCGTTAAGTATGAATTCTACTTTTATTTTTTCATATATTTTAGACAAGATTACGCTTAGAACTGAAGCTCTGCAGCGAACTTTTATGATAACTTAGTGCTTGAAGCTTATTTGTTCCGAACTACTGAAATTTTTATCTATTTTTTCCAAGAATCTGAGTTTTGCTAGAAGAAAGTTTTTATTTCAATTTTTCAGAGAATATCTCGGATTATTTATCATTAATTGGAGCACTCGCAAATGTTAAGAAAGTTTCTGAAGCGACAAAGATTAAAAAAACGTAGGTTATGCGTGCTAACAGTCTGAAACTTAGAAAAATCTAATTCATGTGTATACTTCATGCATGCAAATTTAATGAAAATTCACTACACAAGAGATATAATCTCGGTCACGAAGCTAAATAGTATTTGTGCCAAATAAGGTTTCCGAACTTTTATTACAATTATTAATTAGCTGAAGGACCCAAAAAAATCCAGTATTCAATTGCTGTGTAGAAATGTTATAGACGTGTATTTCCATTTTAGGGAAATTTATGGCTGGGTTGGATTTGGTGATGTATCTTCTGTCGTTAAGCATAGTCAGATGACGAATTGGAATGAAGATTTCTTTCAGCTGGTTAATACTAGACACTTTTATTCTAAAATTGTTCATATGCGTGCTATCGGATTGCGATGTTCCTTATTTGAAAGATCATATATATCTCCCAATATGAATATTAAAAATGATGAGTTGTTAATGTTCAGCACACCGCGATTGTTGATCATTTTTTTAGCAAAAATATGAAAATGGCGAAATTGCTGCGGCACTTATAAATGTTCTTGTCGGAATTCCAGATGTCTTTGAAGAATCATCGACTGCAGATACTAGTATCGAAAATCTACTCATGGAAGCTGCTTTTGCACAGGATTTTATTTTTATGTAGGTTCGAACGCTGCATACTTAGTTAAATGATCGTTTTCTGCTCATTAGGCTGTATCAAAATTTTCAGGAAAGATAGCACGCTTGAGGGTATTACTTCTAGCGAATCTATTTTGTGCTATCAGGAACCAGCGAATGTATTTTGTTTCATACGTCGTAAAAACAAAATTTTTCTTTTAACACTGCATAATTGCTTTGATGCTACGGAATATTTCACCTACAATATATGTATGTTACTTCCCAAAAAAATCAGCTTTATTGTTATTACTTGCTTTATTTAGTCTTCTAGTAAAATTCATCGAAAAAAAGTCAGCAGTGACGAGAAAAAATTAACTTTGTTAACTATAGTAATTAACTTTTCACAACACTAGTCGATTGAATATTAGTTTCGTATTGTAAAGAAGAGTATCATTTCAGGGCGCGAGATCAGCGGTGAATTCTTTGCTGATTTCAAAGATCTTCTTCTTGAAAAAAATTTCAGAGATAGGTCAGAAATATTGGTATATCAGATTTGGGATAAAATATTGTCGATATAGGAAATAAATTAATAAAGCACATTTCAGCAATGGGCGGATCTTTGCGATTGTACCTGACAATAAGCTGAGAATCATGAAAGAATTCTCTGAATTGCAGAATGAATACAAAATAGTATGTTTCTTTTTTGGTTGCATTTTATTGTATAGATTGTAGCATTGATGCAGGTTTGCCGTTAATAGTTTGAAACAGATTGATTCACGCTGTGGTATGGTGTGAATCTGACTGAGAATTTATAAAACAGAATAATCATTTGTTGCTGTAATATACTTTTGTCTAATTCATGGTTTTCCAGAAATATGGCAATTATGAATCAGACAAATCTTTATCCACAGAGGACTGGGTAAGTTTTGTACTTGATAAGAGTATTTATTGAACTAGCTGTTTGCCTTGTTTAAATAGGTCCTTAAATCAGTCTGAAATGTGGCCCTTACTATTCACTTAGTTTTGCTTATTCATTTATCAATGTATTGAAATTCAATATTATTTTAGAATGAAATTAGTATACTCAATGCTAGTATTTCGGAAGCAGAATCATTCGAGCTAGTTATAGAGGAAGAAAGTGATGAACGGGTAAGAAAAATGAACTGTCATAAGTTCGACTTTGTTTCGATTCAGTTTCAGTGCTATCATGAATTTATACTGATGCCTTTTCTGTTTAATTTTATTATATGAATGTCATGTGGCATTTTAAATTTTTTTCATGGCTTTATTTGAGGCTTTTGATTCAACTGATGTTGTCAACCTTAGCTCAGTTATGTCAGAAGAACGTTACAATCTTTTCCACAAATGTAAGAAGGCGGAAAGAACTTTATGGAAGGAACAAGAAAAGTATTTCATGATTTTTTAAGGTTTTTCGAATATATGTATTATTTGATAATATATATACATTTTGTTTTTTAGATTTAAATACTCTTTAATACCTGGAAATGATGTTGCTGAGGCAAGGATTCGGTTTCGTGAAGCTGTAAGTACAAACAGTTTTTCAGTATTGAATTTACCAAGTCTTTGTGTTCCTGTTTTGGAGAACGATGTATGTTCTCAAATAATGAATATTTCACTCAGAAGGGAAGCGAAATTTCTACTGGGTCAAGTGATATAAAATCTCAATTCTTTGCAGTTACTTTCTGGTGATGAGAATGAAGTACAGTCGAGCATGAAGAAAAGAAACCCACGTTCGATCTTGAAAGAGAGCACGGGAAATAATTTGCCACTCTCACCGAGACCATGAGTTATCATTTTTGCTTATAATCGACCCGTGTTTATCATCATGCATGATACTTAAGTGAAACTACCTTATCCTTACTTCCCAGTTCTATTCTCTTTAGCAGACTAGCGCTAAACGCAGCACAAAAAGCATCTCATTAACTTGAAAGTACTGATACGAAACTAACTCCATATTACAAATATTTCTTTACTGAGCCTTACTACCTTCTTAAGCCCAGCTCATATTTAGCTAAGAATTGGATTTCAGTGGACTTCCTCTCAAGCTGTAATCTTCCAAAAACTTCATTCTATTTCCCATGTTCCGCATATCATCGTTCATGTATTTCTATTGCTTAGATAGCGAAATATCTTTGAAAAAAGCATTAGTTCGCTACAAATGTATGTCTCGACAAGTTGCACTTTCTAACCACTGAACTGAACTGATTTTTTATTCCGTCACAACTGTATGAATATTAAATGCTTTCTATTTACTCACATTTCGCTTACATGAGGTTTTCCGAGTGAACTAAGACATTTTTATGTCATCAAATAACAGAAACAAACTCAATAGCTTAAGGTCCTCACGACTAAATTGAAACGCAGCGAGGTCACGAAAGTTCCAGTGTACAGTCCAGCACCAAAAGCAGTAAGACAGAACTAAATCATTAGGAAAGGAAATCCATCATCACTACACTTTTTGATGAGTGCAATGACATAACATTAAATACTTGATTTATTTGTACAATGGTCATTTTACAAACATTGACGCGGAACTCTGTACAATGCATGAAAAAACCTTAAATAGTATGGCATGGTGTTATTTGCCTATTCATAGATGATGGTGGCATGAGTAATAAAGAGCAGGAACTGAATGAAAACAAAATGGCAGAAATGGGAGTAAAGAAACGACTAAAAAGTAACACGGAACAAGTACCATTATGAACACTGTCATATCCTGAAATACAACGAAATTCGAAGCAGTAGCAATAAAAGAATCAAATTCCTTATACTTTGGTAACTCCTACTATCTATCACCAAGCCAAAAAAGACGTCCAATATTCGCATAAATCAAACATGTTCTGATCAGTGTATATGCTACCTGAGATGAGAAATGTTTACCAAATAAACTACTCTCGGTATAGAAAAAATAATTCCAGAGAAACAGTACCGTAGTTTTAGATTTCATAAACCTCACTTTTGCAGCCAATCTTTCTTTTCTTTCTTAATCATGACTTACAATCAAGGAGAACATGACTAAAATCCAAATCTGAAGAATCTTTAGTTAAAACAAAATAAATTCAAAATAAAATGGTTACAAACAAAGACAGATAATATAACTTTATATATTTTGTAGCAGAAGAAGCATGAAACAGAAATCATAAACCTTAAATAAATATTGAACGTCATGAAATAACACACTACGCTTTTTAAAAATATTCCCAGCGACTGGTGGAGGGAAAGGAACTTCGTACCACGTCAATGATATAAAAATATGAGGATGAATTGAGAGCTCCATGAGTCATACACGAAATAAAATAAAGGAAATGGAGAAGAACGATGGGATACCGGGAAATTATAGAAATATCTGAGAGATCATCTACCCAAAGACAAAAAACTGGGAAGTAGCTACCAAAATAGATTTTGCTTAAGAACCAATCTACTACAGCTTCTGAATATAGAAAACTGACAAGTCATGAAAGCTTTTATAGTTCCCCTAATTTCGAAACTCACGTATGACTTTAAACCCAATGCTTCCAAACTTAAAAATTTGAGAGCCAAAATTTTTAATTTTTAAATACACCAAATACGTGAAGGTAAAACAGTGTGACAAAAGAATATATCAAGTACATGGAACCAAAGAAACGTATCATAAACTGTTTGAACGAATACATGGTATGTGGTTGCCGCTGCTCAATTTAAAATGAGCCTTCACAAGGATGACGAAAACTTGGATGCTGAATAGAATACACGAAACGGCAAACGAATAAGAGAAAATAACTAGAAAATAAGAAATAAAGTTCCCAAAATTATATCTTAAAACTTCTAAAATGCAAGTTGTAATGACCGAAATCCCTAGGGAATTTGAAGTTCGAAGAAATTATGTCCTTATAGGAATCTTAAACATCAAATCACAAATATATTAGATAATAAACATACATATTATTTCGAAAAATTGGCCGGACATTATATCGCGATTTTTTTATAAAACAGTACTTATGGTCTCAAACATACTCGCACTTACGCCTAATCACACCTGAATTCGAATACAGAAGAAATCTAAATTTCAAGCGCTTGGTTCACCATAAACTTTACTACAAAAATGTAATGTGAGTAGAAAACTGATAGGTACGGGCTGAAAATTGAAATGATAACTGGAAAGGGAAGAGGAGAGAGTATTCAAGAACCCAACAAGTATAAACAATAAGAATATTAAAAAAAGGAAAACTGCGAAAACGAGGGGAATAGAGGAGAAAGATGAAAAATAAGAATGACGTGTCTGACACATGAGAAATCACTTGTGTGAATAACTAGCTGTCATCCCACCAACTGTATCAATTTCACCGACATTAGTACGGTTCGGGTCAGCCGTCCCTTTGAAACCCAAATAAGCACCATCAACAACTAATTTGTTTCCTTTATTACCTTTTTTCTTCCGTTTACCACCACCCGTGAATGTTTGTTGCGAGGTAGAGTTATCAGGTTTATTACTTGCTGAACCAATACTGACACCATCTGCTGCTTGAGCTGGATGCGTCAAATCCTGAGGAAAAAATTTGATGTATAAAAAACAAAACTTTTTAAATGCAAGAAAAACACATCATCAGCTTGATGCGAACTACGAGAATGAATTGAATGTCGTTTCGATTCCAACAAGAAAAAGCTCAGAAATGAAGTAAAGTACAAGCTTAAATTACATCTTTGTCAACAGGTTCTTTTTTCTGGCGGGCTTGTGAACGCCTCTCCAAAAATTCTCGTATCAAACTCTTCACTGATCTGCCCTCACCCAGATATCCAATTATATAATCCTCTACCTTAACCAAATAGAAATATTACATCTCTACTTTCAGATATATAGAGAGTTTAAATGATTTGTCATAAGGCATTAAATTAATATATTAAAGAGCTAAATCGAGATGGAAAAGTTCCATCCATACTTCATTGGGATTATCGACACCCTCAATAAAAGCAGCAAAAACATCAGCATCTACTTGAGGATTCAATTCCTTTACTCGACCTATCATCCAGCTCGTCAACGGATTGTCGGCTACTGCTTGTTTAAATATTTTCTTTACTGCCTGAGAAAAAACAAATTACCTCTACCAAAAAATATTAAAAGGAAAAAGTTATTGTTCAGTAACTTGACGATACTTTAGTTTGTAAACTCACGAATGCAAGAGATGCAAATATTAATAAACGATATCACGACATACTTCATGCTGCGCACTTGTCGTCATCTTTGACTCTTGATCAGATCTGATGAGACTATTTACACTTCTAAAACAATCTTCAGTAAAAGATTTAAATGTCGCAGAAAAAATACTGAAAGATTCCACAAATTTTTCTATAAAGGATATGAATAGTGATCTCGTACCTTTTAGCTTTTTCATTTCCACCTGATACTAAATCTAACACTACTTTTGAAAGAGTAATGTTATTTCCTGCATTACTATTATCATTACCAGTTTTAGCACCACTCCAAGCAGCCAATGGTTGTGACTTTGATTCAAATGGAAGCTGAAAATAATATTAAAATTAGGATGAAAACTGCTAGCAGTTTTTAAAAAAGTCAAATTACAACTTACATAGTCTAGACTCTCCTAAAATTCGAAAACGATACCAATCTAGTAAATTACGTAATCATGACAGCAACTGAAAACAATATATACCTGATTATTTGATTTCCACTGAAGTTTTTGCGCAGCAGAATTCCAAACTCCTGCACAAACTGGCTCGTTAGCAACACCTCCATTAATATGTTCTTGCTGCCTTTGCTTAATTTCCTCGATCATTTGCCGCTCTTCCTCCTGCTGTATGACTAACAAACTTGGTTCACTCCGATCTAGCACCCCATTGTTTTTTGCGGCTACCCACGGTGCAACTACAAAAATTTTCTCATCAGTTTTGATTTGGATTAAAGGACTGCAACTACAAGTAAGATGTGTCTCTCAAAACTAGAAAGAAATGAAACTTTTAGGCCCTGATTTTCCTTCATTGTTCCGATAAAGTGATTGACGACTAAATGTATCTGCTTTTTCCTTTGGTGCTATCACAGATTCTTTAGTTGCAGCAAATTCCTTAGTGACATTCTGAAATGTTACCACATACTTTTCACTACAAATCATTCACACGTTGAGAAAAAAATTTTTACCCCACAAAGACTGAGGCACACAAGCGACTGAAGTATACCACTTTAAACGAAATACTGTAAAAAACTACTGCTAATGAAAAGTAATAATATACAAAATTTACGAGGCTTAATATGATCATCTAATTTTTTCCAACCAAGAAAATTGAAATATACTTCTCTCAGACCCATTTGAAATGCAGTGTTTGAAACAAGAACTGAAAATAATCCCTTCTCTAGAATATAACCTCTTTCTTCGTCTCAGGTGATGACTTATGAGACAAATCTTTTTCATATATGGCTGATTGACGTTTTTTCTGTTCTTGTTCAGTTACTATTTTTTTTACAGCTTCCTCGTCTCTTTCCTTTATCTTCAGCTCCCTTTCTTCCTGCAAAAGTTTTTCCATTTCAAGCTTCAGCTGCCATCTTGCCTCTTCTTCTTTCTGAAACATTCTTGATTTTCTTTTGTTGAAGAGTCATGAAAGTAAAGTAATAAAGCATTACAACACTAATAAGATTTGAATTAAAGCACTACAATGAAGGCATTTCCCCTCGATTATTACTTGGTAAACTACAACTAACACTACTAAACTACAATAACATACACGTCGTGTTTCTGCTAATGCCCTCTCTACTTCCTCTTTTCTTGATTTTTCCATCTCCTCAGCTAATCTTCTCATCTCAGCCTCTATTTCACGTTCTCGAGCAGCAGCTCGCTCTTTTTCTTCAGCAGCTAACCGCTCTAATTCTTTCTGAAAAAATAACACTGAATGGAATGTAAATCCTAACTGCATGATAATAATAAATTAGTGAAGTCAAAAAGCTTCATATTTGATAATTTACGCACAAAAAAATGAAAGTTAACAAGATATCATTCACTTCTGCCTTCTGTAACTGCAATTCTTTTTCAATTATTTTTTGTTCCCGAGCTATCCTTTCTTCCTCTTCCTTCATTAAAGCCTCACGCATCTCTTTTAATTGTCTTTCTTGTTCTGCTACACGACGTTGCTCTTCTTCCAATCTCTCGAAAAAAAATCTGATTTATTTAAAATTTTCACTTATTCCACTATTTTCAAAAACTTTCAAAACATTAGAAGACAATAGTAACATTAAACTGAATCCAATATCATAAAAAACAAAAATGTAAATACTATTTGAAATAATAAACCACCAAAAGCAAAAAAAACTAACCTGACGCTCTTCTTTAACTTTTGCAACTTCAATAATGGATGCATTGTAGTCCCGACTCCAGATATTTCTGCTGAGATATTTTCATACACTAATCATAAGTAACAAATATTTATAATGACTGGCGACAAAATGGAAAATAACTACGTTTTACGAATACTCTAAAACTAGCAATTAAAGATGCGAATAACCTTACGAAGCTCCATCTGGGTGAATTTTATAACATACGTGACACTAATGGAATTCTGGGTATACTTCATTCAATACTTGATATACTTACATAAAAATTTGAAGAAGTCATGTTCACCTAACTTCCTGCGTTTGTTGCAATGGTAACTGCATTACGGTGGATGGAAGAGTTTTCAATTTAAAGGGCTCATCTTCACCATTCAATGTTATCAATTCTCCAAGAGTCATAAAACTACTATCTGGACTTTGCTCATGCCTCACACGTAAACTTGACGTGAAATATCCCAGTTTGTACCAGGCCTGGAAGTTTTCCTTCACAAATGCAAATGGAAAAGTCGAATGTTTTAAAAAAAAGTAAAATTAATCCATATTGCTTGAATTTGTAATTCTATTTGACATGAGTTTTACCTGCATATGAGCCGTAGGAAATGGTCCTTGCACAGCATTTTTCGGATCGACATAGAACCACTCATTAACACCGTCACTTCTTGCAGCTAAGCCAATAGAAGCAGCCTGGGTTTGGGACAAAGAATGACCAATCAAAGCAGCATCATTAGGGTACTAAAGCAGAACAGCAAGAAACTACAGTTATCTTCAGTTCAAAAACGTTATAAGATATTGCTTAAACACATTTTTACAAAAATTATAGAAATAAAGCACCTGTGTATTTTAAATAGTGCTCAAAGCTGAGACAGAAATGTGTCACTGAATTGAAAAATATGAAATTTATAGGAAAGAAACTGCTTTGAAAGAGTCTTAAATTTAAAGGCTCATCTTCACCACTCAAACTTTCAATTCTCCAAGAGTCATGAAACTAGTATCTGGACTCTGCTCATGTCTCACACGTAAACTTGACGTAAAAATCCCAGTTTATAGAAAAAAGATCTATTCTTAGTGAACAAAAAGGCTGTAGATAAAATAATGACAGTACATTCTGGTGAAATGTACTGTTTGTCACAGCAGATGTTGTTGCAGGTATAGATAGAGATTGATCAGATGAGACACTGGTGCTTGCATTAGTTTTCTGAAAATTAAGAGACATAAGCATCACCAGCATGAAAAATTCAAAACAGAAAAATCTTATTCAGTATTTTTAACACAGTCAACATGATCAGATAACATATTCTTGTCTATATTTAACTCTGAAATGTGAAATGTCCAATCAAGATTAATGCTGCGAAAAGTAACACAAAATAAGTAGATTTCAGCTTTACCCACTCTAATTATAAAAATAAGTAACAAATGATACCTAATGACTTTATTCCAACTAAAGTCTTTCCTCGATGAAGTTTTTAATCAGCATAAAAAATAAAAATTCTGGAAAATTTTGAGTCTTAAATTTTTCTGAATGAAAAATATATCTTTCAATACATAAAAATTTGATAGCTTCCTGTACTAATATAATAGTCTGTTACTTTGTTAGGATGCTGCTCCAAGTTCTCTGACAGTGCAGACCATTTACTATGAATACTAACGGGAACAGCTGACATCATAGTCTTTTCTTCCTTCTGATGCCCTTGCCTAAAAAATGTGCGTACCGCACGTCAAACCACAGAACTATTCAAGTAGATGCACACCAAAAACATTTATCGAAAAATGATCACTAGACTGATGTAAAGAAAAAATCGCATATGCACTCAGTTATAATGAGCACTGACTAAATTTAAGTAGTCCTGAGTACATAACTACAATAATTTACAAAGTTTATTGAAAAACAAAAAAAAGTACCAGAACCTTTCTGTAATATTTATTTGCGATATAGTTGTTGCAGGACTTTTTAACGTCAAATTAGCCATTCGCTCCACTATATTACAAGTTCGGAACTGACCACTATCATCAAATGATCCAGATTCTCCCAGATTAGAGTTTCCCTCTCTAAAATGAATAGAGTTGATTGAGCAGATATCATCATATGACGCCAAAGAAGAAATACCTTTCATGGTCATCACTCATCCATTCAGGAAGCTGTGAATGACTAGGAAATTCGGAGTTCGTGCTAGGCTGTTGTAGTGTAGTGTTCGTATTAGCATGAGTTCGCTTATTCCAAGGTGCAGCACTACGACCTACTTGGGTCCAACCACTGTTCAAAGCTCCTGCCGATGAATCCTCAATGCTACAGCCAAACTGTTGACAAGAAACATCATCAGAAGTACTTCGGAGACGTTGTCTTGGACGATCACGTGGATCACGTGGATCATATAAACCCTGAGCTCGAGAACTGAATGGCTGCGTGATATTGCTTCCTCGGCCAAAATTTGTCGAACACGATCGAAGATTTCGATTTACACCTACATTGGCATACATAGTTAAAAAAAATAAACTGCTGATTAAGTACAATAACATTAGATTAATAACATTAATCTTTAATTTTTCTCAATGATAGTAAACAAACTATGTCGTCCAATTATTGTCGAGTCAGAAATATGGGAATTCGATTGCGCAATGCCACGACCGCGATATGTCGATCCGAAAGCGTTGGTACGACCAAACTGCAAGCTTCCTCGTCCAACACCTGTGAATGAATGATAAAATCGGCTAAAAAATTCCAATTCTGCAGAACTAAAATGTTAGAGTCATAGCTTCACAATACAATACTTACGCGAGAAGACAATTTTTCAGAAAGTATATATGATACTGGATGCTCATTATGCTACTAGATAAATTCAAAAAACAATAAAGACGTTCCAAATATGCACTTCAAGAAAACTAACGAACCTGATGCAGGCATCCATGAAGGAGAAAATGAACGATTTTCCTGACTTGTTCTGAGCTGAGCAAGTATGCCTGCGCCACCGATCATACCCCCTGAAGCAATTGTTGCCCGGTCCACGTGATTTAGCAGGCTCATTGCTTTACTTGAATTGATGTTGTGTTGTAGTCTCTGAAAATTAAGAACTACACAAAAGAATTGGACTTCACAATGCAAATTTTCGAAATGAAAGTCTGATCCATTCATTGGTACATGAAGCATACTAAATTAACCGTTTCTGTGTCGGAGAATGGCAACAGCACAATTGGTTTCTGCGCAGTCGCCACAAAAAACTGACATTTGTCAAGGCCAATCGGAGGACTTGCATTTTTCGAGAGAAGAGCGAGTAAATCCTCCCGACCATATCGATTTTTGACGAAAATTGGTTCCGCAATAGGATAGTCAACATTGAGCTGGAAACACCAAACCGTTTCACTGCTGATATTTTACATCAGTCAAGTCTAACTAGTAATTAATCGGAATACCGAATCATTTGTCCATGTAAAACTTACTGTTTTACCGTTTCGGACGTTAAAAAACTTTTAAGACCCCAATTTTCAAGAGACAGTACGTACTACTAAAAACTAAACCAGTCATCACTATCCCCTTGCTTTCTTTCGGGGTGCTACTTCTTGTTATTCACTACTTTCTGAACTACTGCCGAACCACATCTCAAGAAAAAAATCAAATAAAAATGCAAACTGACTAACTGTTTATAGACCTTAACACGGCTCATTGTTTCTATTCATTTAAAGAGTCTACTACTATCAAAAACAAAAACAACGACAGAATATATTGATTAACGCTTAATCCTACTAAAACATTCCGCACATACTTTTTCGGTGACAAAAAATGGCTCAGTGCGATTATTACACCTATTTCCGTCTTCAGTAGACATCGAGACTGGAACGGCACGCATCCTAAAAACACGAAACTCTCAAATAAATCAGACGAATTCATATTTTTGCTTCGAGTAGCCAATGGAATTCACTCAACCTAAACTATACGCAAAAAAAAAAATTGCCATCGTTGTTTTGTATTTTATCCAGTACCAAGTAAATAATTGAAAAATTTTAAATAGAAGTCTTCTCGTGAAATTAACTTACCACGCAGGATTGAAGTTTAAAGAGTTGGATTCAGCTGCAATGGCAGTGGTTGACATTTTGATAGCAATGATAGTCTCAAAGAACTTCCAAAATAATACTGCAAACTGACATTAGTAAGGTGTTGATATTTAGAAGTATGATTATTCAACTAACAGTCTGCCATAAACAAAAACCAATGAAGATTTAAAAAAAGAGCAGTTCATTTCTGAAACTTATTGATATTCAAAAGTGATGAGAATTTGCGACCTGATGATTGTTTGTAAATAGTAATTACAGCACACACAATCGAATTTTAAATGACATACAAATAGATGGATGAATAAGAAAAAGTACAAATAGAACCCTCAGCTACTCCAGATATGATACAGCAAACTTCACGGACACTACCTACCTCAACCAAGCACTTATCAGTCAACTTTACGCGCACACGTGTGCCAATAACAGGATCGTTTTATTACTAGCTATCAGCAATGTGTGCAACGATGCCTGCCATGAAATGATCATTTCATCCCAACACATATTTTGTTTTAATAAATTGCATAATGAAGTTGAAGAGAAAGTTTGTGGCTAGTTCCCACCAACCCTTTTTATTCAGATTAGTTCAGCTGCTAGCAGTGCTTTTCATTTTGTTAGTTGTTAGAAAAGTGAACAAATAGGTATTTGAGAATTAGTAATCATATCTATTCCCCTTTATTTGAAAATTATGTTTTCAGCATAGCTGCCCTCCTTTATTTTCAATAATTTTAGTATTAGTCTATGTCTTACTCTCTTTCCAATAGTAATAGTAATAATAATAGTAATAATAATAACAATAATAGCAATAATAATAATAATAATGATAAGAAAATAGTACTAATAATAATAACGCAAATGATGATTACATTGAGATTGTTCTTTTCCTACTTGTTGCAAATTATTAAATAAATTAGTGGCTTAGCCTGATTTCTGATAGTTTCAATCATGCCTTATTTCCGAAATTTATGTGTTTGAGATTAATAGGAGAAAAATGAATTTCACCAGAACAGACTAACATTTAAACAGCTTGACCAAACCAAAGTACTGTCATATTTTTTGCTTCATTGCAGACATGGTTAGTAGTACTCGAAATTTGTGGAAGTTCTTCAATGGGGCAAAGACTTGTGACTTCCCCTGTATTCGTAAAAATTTTTACTCCGCGTGGATCAAATGTGCACAGTAATTATTCTGTTTCATGTGTTAAAAAAGTATTGCATCACATACCAACTATCACTTCTTTGTATTATTACCATTACTGTCAAGCCAGTTTCTGAAGAGCTTTTGAAAGAATCCTTGTTTTTTTTGTATTATCAGGTTTAGAAATCTTATTAGGAATGCAAATTTTGTGCAGAAGTATTGTTAGAATAGTTTCGAAAATGATAAATTCTTGTCAGTAGGTCTCAAGTTTTTTATTGCTGAAGAAGCAGTCAAGTTACATACTCAGTTTTTATAGTGGCTTTTGAAGTGTTATTCAAGTTCATGACATGAAAAGGATGAAAAAATACATATTGCATAAAAAGAGACATCTTATAGAACAGGTACTGATGCTCAGGAAATAAGTGGTAGCAGTGAAATTGACGTAGAACGTCTTTTCACACGGAGCGATATTCAGAGTTTGCTAAAGCGTTTAACTGGTATGAATCTCGAGGGCAAGTTATTTACTCATCGGAACATTGCTCATCCTCAGCGTTCGCACTATGCTCTAATGACTGATGATGCATATGAGAAGGTAGTTAATATGTGCGATTCAGTATCAAGTGTAGTTGCTTTTCATTTGCAAGGTTTTTGAATGTTTTGTTGTGAAACTCTTTACTTTAAAACTCCACATATATAGTTCAGTATTATATTTTCAAAATTGTTCATAGCATATGTAGCCTATGCATTACTTTTGACTTCACTTTAAACAAGTCTTGGTGCTATCAGATTTGATTTGGCTGTTACGCTTATTTCTAAAAAACAATACCGAAGAAATGTTTTCAAAAAGGAATTATTCTGTGGATTTTTGATGGAAAATTTATTCTACATATTATCGTTTGTGGTCAGATAATTTTAGACATTGAAAAATATGGAAGAAGTGGGTTTAAATTTTTTGCAATTTGTGCCGGTCTTGGAACCGCGTTGTAATACAACAGTTATTTTGGCCAAAGATCCCGAAATTGCAGGCTTTGATGATAGTAAATATGTTTTCACCGATCTCTCTTTTGGTTATGGAATCCAAGTAAGTTCCATTTTTTACTATTTCCGGTCTGCTTGCTGTATATTACATTCTGCTGTGTTTATCTAGATACGCTCAGTCGTTGTACGTGAAACAGACGGTGTGCTACGTAGTGCAACAGTTGAAGAACGAGATCGTATGGCAAGAATTTATAAAGGTCATCCTCATCGACCTGTATGTGAACCACCTGTATTTAAAGATCCATATCTACAGGTTAATTATTTTCAGTTATACAGTTGTGTCTGAATAATTATGCTGATTTAATTGTAATTTTAATCATGAAAATATTCCAAACATGTGGCTATTTCTACAGATGGCTTTGGATAGGAATGATCATGAACATGTTCTCGATTGGGCATGTCACTATTATCTACCTGATGACCCAGTTTTCATTGAGGTATGAGTCACTTTGCCTCTTGAACTATACTATATGTCGTCGATGTTTGTTATGAAAACGTACATAGCTGAGTAATGAACTGAATTGCTTACTTCTAACATTGAAAAGCTATGCCTTTAAAACATGCACTGGAAAGTAATCACGCGTAACACCTGACTATCTATTATTTGATCACCATATGTATCTTATGACCATTATTTGCAAACTTTTCAATCGTAAGCCTTTTCTATAAAAATATTGTTGCAGCTTTGCCATACAATATTTGACCGTACACTGGATGCGAATAAATTTTCAAATTTATATTCAACGAGACATTTTGGTCCTTTCGTTTTCTACCTTGTTCTGAATAATAGATTTTCCCCACTACTAATTTATTATGGAAGTAAAGAAAAGTGAGTTCTTATTTTCTGATTCTTCCTGAGACTTTTCATTGCCTTACAATTTGCAAAACCGTTTTAGAGTTGAAGATGCAGCAGACTTAATAAGGTTGATTAAGGCAATTTCCGGAGATGAAACATCGAGTAACTGCATGAAAAGTGCCGACGACTTGACGATACTGCAGGTATTTCACAAATCATATAAATAAGTGTTGCCAATAGAAATCTGAGTCATGTCTCCGAATAAATCTTATATTTTTGCAGGACTTCGCAAAAGAAAATGAAGAGCACAGAGATATCATTCAGGATTTAATAAAAACTGCAAAAAAGAAAGAAATCAGGTTGCATAAACAAAATGCTAGCTTCGAGCGAGAAGTAGCTCTTGATGAGAACAAGGCATAATTTTGAAATATCTTGTGGTCTTTGGTAAATCGATTTTAAGAGAAATGATATGATTTTAAATAGAAGCCGTGAGGGACGGAAGTGTATAATGATCATTTACAAGAATATTACAGCACGTTGCGACTATGGATAAAGATAGCTTTGCGGGTACTCAAGGACCACTTGGCGAAATAGCAAAATCATATGACGTCTGCATAGTAAAAGGTTCTTTTGAGGCAACTGAACAGTCACAGAAATGGAAGGAGAAATCAAAGAAACAGAAAAAGCGACAAAACACGAAAGAAAATAAGAAATAATTATGTGCAAATGCCTGTTAACATGTGATCTGTTAGAACTTTCTACATCCAAGCATATTTATCTGAATAATGCTAAAAAGTGCAACCTCACTCTAGCTCATTGAGTAAAATAACGTGATGACCGACATCATTTACAATTATGAATGAGGATTATAAGCTGTTTCCTGATAATAATTATTGTTTCTTCAGATGATCCTTCAATTCGAGATTTCATGATATGAAATGACAGGTTCCATTTTGAAAGCTACCTATCGTTCCACCAAATTTGTAAATTAAGATATGCACAACAAAGAGTGAAAATGAAACAAGAAACATAGTGAAATTTTGGAATAACTAGGGTTACTCAAGTAATACTACTTTAATGGCGGTTTTTTCATAAATGGCATTGTCAAGAAACAATACAAATTGGGACATTTAAATTTTTATAAAATTTTTTGGAGCATTAAAAGTGCTGACTAAAAGCGCAGATATGGTATTAGTAATTGCTGTGGTGACTTTAACACCTTTCAACTATGCAAATAAATAGAGGTCCAGACTATAATTAAATATCAGGACACCAATATGCTGCTCCACATGTAGGATTCGTAATTCTCCTTCATAAATGTTTATATTACTTGTTTAACTGAAGCATAATGTGCATACACAACTGCACCAGCAAAATTCAACATTCCTGCTAATATGAATGCTGGCCACCAGCGTCCCGATGACTCAACCACTAGTCGTGCTGTTAGTGGTCCAACAGTAAGGCCAGGTAATGTTGCCTAAAGCAAAGTGAATGGTACTAAGATATAAATCATTTTTGGTTCAGAAGCTGAGATATATTTTTAGACAGCCAAGAACCGGATTTATGTCAGTGCTGAGATCTGAGTCAGCAGCTAGTTTTCAATTTGATCAGTGCTGTCTGAAAAGTTTCAAGCCAGCATTTTTATATATTTGAAAATACTTACAATTGTATTTGAAATAGCGAATGTAATGCCGGCGTACTTTGGAGCAACATCTGCGTGATTACTTAAATGACCTGCTGAATTCAAAGCTAATGCGCCCATACTTAATGAAACCATTCTAGAAAGTACATGCTCATTCATTACATTGTACAAATTATTGACTCTATGTCGGAGGTTGGATTTATGAAAGTCAAATTTTCTAATGAGCTGAGAAAAATTTGTTAATCAGGAGTTAATATGGAAGAAGAAAGCCGGGTAGTATCATAAAGTTCAATATTTCAAATGAAGTGCTTAAACTAACAAGATCGCTGGAAGAAGGCTCGTAACAAATGCGAAACCGATAAGCAAGAGCGCAGGAACAGCAAGTCCTAGGGTAGTGCAGCATATTCGAGCGTAAAGCAGTGACGTCTTTTTCTCATTCACCATTTTATCAACCAAATGACCTGTTGCTAAAAAGGCGAGACTTTGAAAAACTGTACCCTAATCCCATGGTTACATTTTGCATGCACACTATAGATTAGATATTATAATGGAAGCAAGTACGATATCAGATTTCGGAACATGTAAATCTGGCATTAAATGGACTCAAAAATCGAGAATCTGCAACTACTTTTACTGTATTAGTAGTTAAGAGCAACAAATAAACTTCCAGAACAAATCGAACGTTATTATAGTGCTGATTGATAGTCTATCTGAAAAATAATAACCATCTTCAAAAGTTTAAAAAATGAGTTCTCAAACATACCAATAGCAAAAAGGCTGTTTGCTAAATATGGTAGAGCAGCCAGCGATATCTCAGCTGGATCCGCCCGGAAGGTGACACGTAAATAAGTGGGTAACCAATGCATAATAATATAAGCGTTCCAGTTCATGCAAAAGTGTGCAACATAAATAGCAGTTAATGGTGGTAGTGTAAAGAACCGATCCCACCGATTCAGTGGATTGCGTAACTATAAAATGATATTATTTTTAAAAAACTTTTGGAATTCATATTTTCATCAAAAAAATCATACTTTTTGGAAAAGAAGATGGTGATGGTTTGGTAGGGGTAATTTGGTATCTGTTCTTATCCATAAAATACACCAACATATTCCAATAATGCCGAATATATGAAATGAATATTCCCATTTTAAATGGGGACAAATCTGGAAAGAAAAATTGATAAGTCAATTTAGATGATCTGGATGATTACATCATCTGTGCTGGTTGTGGTAATCAAGAAGTTCAAATTAGAAAGGGAAACACTAACGGCCGCTGCAATGGTCTGGCCAACTGCACCACCAGCTATAAGATATGAAAATGCAGAGGATCTCTGTTCTGAAGGTACAGTTTGAGCAAGTATATGGTACATTGTCGGAAGACCTTCAAAAAGCAATAACAAATGTCATTTTTAAATAAGTCAACAGTGATTTGTTTCAATATTTAAATGAACCAGTTCTCAAAGCTTACCTAATCCTTCTCCTAAACCTAATATTACTCGAGCGAAAATCAACAAATGATATGATGAAGCAATAACAGGTACCAATACTGTACTTATGGACCATAACAATACAACGAAACATAAAAGATAGTGACCACTTAACTGAGAGCACGCACAACTCCCAATTATCTATAAATTTAAAATGAATATTTATAAAATAATTATAAGTGATAAATTTTCGATGATTATCAAGACAAAATATGTTTGGTTTTTATTATTAAATTTCTAACAAAATGAAATACATAACATGTCAAAACCCCAGACCAATTAAAGCCAAGAGGTAGTTCAGGGAAAATAACTGTAAGTATATCCAGAAATTCATGCATAAAATTCGAAATACGGTCGTGATAATACCGGTTTCAAATTTACAGTACTTCAAACTAGTCGAAAAGAGAGGATAACATGACTTGATTTATTTTTAAAATGAAAGTAATAGAAACTGATTTCAAACTAAAGGATTCCAACTAACTGTGTAAAAAGAAATCCGTAAATAAAATCATAATGTTCATGAAATTAGAAAAAAAAATAACTTGAGAGCTAATGTATCCGGCAGGAAAAGAGCTCAAGATCCAGCCTTGTTGAATGAGCGAATAGTCAAATTCTGTGGCTATACTAGTAATAGCAATCGGCATAATTACTCGGTCAGCACTGTTGATAAAATTTGCTATGACACAAAGCCATACAACGATTCCAGAGTTCGTTTTCCACCATTCCTTTCTCAAATTAATTATAATCAATACGTTAGCTGATTGTTAAAATATTTTTTTAATGAAATTATTAGAAAAAAATCACTGAACTGTGGATGACTGCATTTCCACGGCATGAAAGACAAAACTTGCAATCTTCAGTTCCCATAAACAGATATAACGTTGTTTGGTTTTGTTTGTTAGCTTTTTGAGCAATATATTTTATGCTTTTACAGATTCTACACACATCTTTTATTCCTACATACCAAATGCTTCAATACTTTCACACAAGCTAGCTTAGAATTCATAATAAATTAATTACGAACTGTTAATTTGCGGAAAATGAAATATTTGGCATCATCATTAACTAGTAGTATAGAAAAATATTACCTTCTACTCACCAACTCTTCTTGCTCAGGAATTAGAATGCGCAAACTACTGGCATCATCCTCTCTATAGTCGCGCATGGCTATCACTTGAGACTGCTAACGATTAAATTTTAGAATAAAAATACTCCCAATCCCGCCTAGTACTTCATAACACTTCCGAAATTTATGATCTCGAAATATTCCTAAAGGAATCCTTTCTTGAACAATAAAGCTACAAGCATATAAGCACAAAAACAATCCCAATTTTAAACACTAGCAACTGCACTACAGTTTTTACGGTATGATGGACTTTGGGAAACAATGTAAGCCACGCCACGTACAGCAACAACTATTTTACATCGGTCACTTGAAGTTCCTGAAAAGTTTTTCTTGAATAATGACTATAAGTAAAAGATGCAACCTAGAAAAGGAAATCTTGAAACCCAATTTCATGGTGATAACACTACATTACATTCTCTCTGGTTTATTTTCACTTTAACCTGAAGACGAATGGCCCCAAAAATATAAAGGTTAATAAAATAAAACATAATAACAAACAAGAACATAGTGAAGCAAATACTAAACTTCTTCGCCACAATGCTCTAAAAGTCGGGTTGCAAATAAAACGAACTTTGCTGTCAACTGCGAACATCAAACATACGTTTTCAGTTTATTGAGCATGGATAGTATTTTCTAGAGACTTTCAGTTAAAAACAATATTTACAATGAAATGGAAAGACTTGTGTTGGCAGCTGAATTACATATCAGTAAAGATAAGCATAAAATATTGTCAACAAAAACACTTTGCTTGTTTATGCATTCACTTGCACTATTTCAAAATTATTGAAATTATTGTTGAAATTTTTAAAGTTAGATTACAAGTTGTAAATAAAATGATGACGTTCTATCAAGTCCAATATTAGTAGTTTCAATATATTCAAGACAAATATATTGAATAAATAAAAAGCTAATACTTAAGAGTCTACGAAGTACTTATCAACTATGTGAAATAAGAAAAACACATTGAACTTCCAATCATGATACACCACAAACAGAAGTAATTTCATGAAATTTAGCAAGAAGCAGCAAATTATTATCACATCTATCATTTCATATTACTCTAAATATCAGATACACGGATTTTTTCAAGAAGATGATAATCACCATAAACATTTCTCGAACCAGTAATGAAAGGGATATAGAATGCACGAAATACTGGATGCGAATAATGAGACAACAAAAACTTCTTCTTCACAACTGAACGCCAAATAGTTATCTACAAATGACTGGAATATTAAAATGCGGATGTAGTAAAAAAAATTACTTTTCAAAGCTCACCGACGAATTAAGATTTCACAAATTTTAAAATGTTCTCGTGTTTGGAAGCAAAATATGAACAAAGTGATAGTATTAAATGTACTGAATAAAACAGCTGTACTTATAACTTTCTGTACCACTAAGCGGCAAAATAAAGAAAGTTATTGATAAATAAAATATAATAATTTTCAAAAAAATAAAAGCAATACAGACTGCCATATATGCCTGACTTACGCAAAATAATTTCTTGGATTTACAAGAAAGCGCAAAAAAATCTTGCCTGTTCAGCGTAATTTGGTTCCAATGCAGTGGTATCTACCGTTTCTAAGTCAATCAAAAAATTGCACTCCTCAAGACCGATATATCTGGAAAAACTTTCTCAAAATCCTGAATTCATAATACATAAAATATTGTACGAGCTGGATAATCCAAAATATTAAAACTGCAATTTATTCAGCATCTTCTTTCTCATTCTACTTTAGATGTGATACTGAAACGAAATATCTTGAATCTGGACGAAACGCAAGATATTATGCATGAATAAAAAGTTTGGCAACGAAATCAAGTTTTGAAAAACATAAACACCCTTTTAAGTTATCAGAAAGTTTTCACCACATGAGAGAACTAGAATTAAAAAACGATTTCAATTAATATCTTAAATCAGAAACCTCAAGATCTTCTCTAAAATAATTACAAACCGAGTGGCTTCTTCTTGGTTGAGATCATTCATTTCATCTGGAATAACACGTGTAATTTCTGGCAGCAGACCTTTCATAAACGGTTTTGGAAGCAAGCCAGAATATTCGCTTTTGATGAAATTTAATTCTGTGGTAAATACTTGACCCTTATCGTCTTTTACTTCAAGTGGTAGAAAGAATGAAGAAGGAAATCGATACCATTCTTTACCGACACAAACACGTATTACAAAGCTGTCCTAAAGCACCATCATGACTGAATAAAACAAAACGATGATAATTTTCAACCAGTTTTGAAAATGAGACCAAATATTTTGAACACTACTTCTAGAGATGTGTAAATAATTTTAAAAAACATGAACTAAAATATTTTACGTTTCTTAAGGACAGAGAGAGGAAATACTATTTTGAAAGAAGTAGCATTTTAGATTAAAGAAAAACCCACGTTTTTGAATTTATATAAATCACTTCGGTTGGCATAATCGACAATATTTTCATTCAAAACTTTATAAATTTCCATTGGAGCGGAAAAGTTACGATAAAGAGCAATTGAACGAGAAAATGACAAAAGAGCAAAAACGAACAATATCGCGATAACAAACAGCTTCCAAAATTTTCGCGATCCTTCCCCGAACAGGAAGATACCAATGCTGAAAAAACTGTGAAAAGTTAATTATAGAAGAACAGATAGAAAGAAACAAAAAGGCTTGGCAAAAAAAATTAATATGAACAACATATCAGAGAGATTTCTATTTTTGAATATATTTTGAGACAATTACCGAGGCAAGGCATCAAGAGTTATTGCTGCTAATACAGCTAGGAGAGGATAAACTGGGAATAAAAATCGTTCTTCCTTATGTGGCTGGCAGAAAAACACAATGCACCATGAGAGAACTGAGAGAAATATGAAAACAATGGGTAAAAATCGCTTCCAGTAATTGAATGACATAACTGAAACTTGCGAAGTTTAATAAATAAAGAAACTTATATCAAAAATACTGGACACCATCAAAAGAAAACCATTATTAAAATGCCCATTAATTTCGTATAATTGAATTAAATGTTAATAACTACTAGTAATTAAAGCAACTTAGCAATTAGTGGTCGACTACACAAAATAAGAACCTTGAACTAGTGAATACTCTAGTTTTGAAGACCGTGTCCAAACATAAGCTAGCCCGGCAAACGGAATAGCTAACGGAAACAAGAAAACAACAATATTCCAATTAAGCAATAAATTTTTTATGTAGAATTTCATATCCTCAACACCATACAGATTTGGACCATGCGTTGAAAACACATTATACAAAACGATATTCAGAGGAGCCTAAACGACATTTTACATGGATTTACGTTACATTTTTCGAAATTTATAATATCCATCTGAAAGATCAAAACTGAAAATCAACCGTATTGATTATATACATCTTAGCAGACATATTCAAAACATGATCAAGCATTAAAATTCATAGCCTTCTTTATGAACGAAGGAAACTGAAATAGATCAACAATAAAATTCTAATTCATTAGTTTAAAGGATGTCAAAAAGGTGACAAAAGTATAGAAAAACCATGATAAAAATTTCATATTCGGTCGCAAACTAATTATTTTGTGAAATTTACCAAGACAATTCGACCAAAATAATACGAATCAACCGTCACTAAAGCAACCACAAATATTGCTCCAGAAAAAATTGCGTAGTTACAAAACATGAACGCTAATTCCCGAGGCCGTATAATCAAAACATCGATCAGTATTGGTAAACCAAGAATAGCTGCAAATGGCCAACCAATCAAAGTGCTCAATGCAGTGAAAGCTATCGCGACAAACCTGCAAAAATGGATCTTCACAACTTGAAAAATCCACATTAAATCCTTAATTATCAACAATGTATTTCTTTTATGACACTAAAAACGTCAGAATGAAAGTTTGCTACACAATATGAGCAAAATGAATCAAATGTTGCATTTCACAAGATATTGTAAGACTAGGAATGCAATATTTTCCACAAATAGATAATTGAATAGCTACAAAAATAAAAATTTGTGAATATACCATTCTTCCTTGATGTAAGCTGCAGTAGCAAACAAATTTGCTGACATGCTGAATGATGATGGGAGAAATGCACAACTGAAAACTACTGAGTTATGACTAAATATGATCCAAGTTTGGGCAGAAAAATGTGGTCATGTAGCAAACAATACCAAATTTTATTTTTGAATTCATTCATGTCAACATGGACTACTATAAATTGTTTGGGTGATGGAAATATTAGAAAAAAAAACAAAATAAAAAGGAAATTTTACAAATGAATGCTTGTAATATAGTAAATATTAAGTTGCTAAAAGCTTCAGCAAACCTTGCTATGAACATTCCGCTCGAAAATGTTGTCAATGCAACATAAATCCTAGCAATACCGTTTCCGAACCGCGAACAAAGTGCTTTATACATGGCTATTTCAGCAGCAACGTTAAACAATCCTAAAACACAGCGCATCGTAATAAAGACTCCTACTTTGTTGCTCAAAAAAACTCGCTTAAGCAATGCAGCAGGTCCATAATGCAGGAGAATGTATAAATAAGACCTGAAAGTTAAATATTTTCATAAAAATGCAATCTTGCAAATCGTAAATCTCAATCAAATAAAATCTAAAGAATGACTACAGAAGAGAAAATAGGAACAAATCAGTAGTTATGTAGTAACTTTTAGTAACCCCATTATTTCTGAAGATTTATATAAAATAAAAAATAAGTCAGAAAATTATTGAAAAAGAATAACTGCAAGCATTTTATACATATATAGTTTTTCCAGTCCTTCACAGTTTTAAGCTTAAGAACTTAACCGTATGGCATATAGTGGTGAGTATTCCCAAGTTTGAAAACCAGTACCATAAAGAAATAAATGAAGAGGCTCCCAATAATTGTATACTTCATCACAGTCGCTTATTGTACTCCACATTGCTGCGGAAATTCGAAATGAAAATAGCATCTAAAACTTACTTTATTCTTGAAATAGCTAAAAAGTATGTTTCTACTTTTTTTAAACAAAAAATATCAGCTCAAACTAAGAATCTATCAAAATATAAAAATGTGCTGCAATGCAATTATTGTTCATGAATCGATGAATGTTTTTATTTTATATTCACCACAAAATTTTCATGAATTATTATGACTTAAAAATAATAAAAATATTTCATGAGTAAGTATGAATGATAAAATAAAATTCAATAACAGTGAGTTAAAAGTATTCATGAGAAAGAGAATAATCTAAAAAATAACTTGGACTTTCAGTTTTAGCAAAAGAGACCTTACAATCGAAATTGCTAATTAAATAGTATTTCTTTTTCGCTTCAAAAATGTGAAATATCAACGAACTTTAAACACAGCTGCGGCTGTTGGCTGCCATTCTAAATCTAGTCGTCCCATAGGTACGTACAGTTTTGAAAATGAATCCAAGGGTGGATAACTGAAAGGTGTTTTCATATGTAAAGGTGAAAGTGACGACAGCGTCTCATCATTCGAGTCCACTGATGTTTGTGATGGCCGGGACATCCCCCGTTTCGATGTACGCTTCATTAATGACAAATTTTTTTTTGCCATTGGAAAAGACTAGGCGAACTACGTTGCATCAATAGATCTTCACTACTGTCGTAGTCTAAATCCTAAATCAGCACTGTTATAATTTAAATACCTCAATTATTCTACAATGTTGCATGTGGGATCTCACAATTCAATTACTTTGTGAGTAGATACCATTTAATAGATTTTAGATTTTCATTAGCTAACATCTCCAAAACTGATATGTATAGGTTTCCTAACATATTTTAATTTATTTATTCCTAGCAAATCGTCACTTACGCAATCAATTAGAATAAGATGTATCTCAGTACATTAAATTTTTACGATGTATTTGGATGTTGATTCTCTAGTTATAGAGAAATCAAATTAAAATAGGCGACTAACGTACTAACGATTTTATCGTTAACCATAAATTTCGGAAAACGATATCGGAAAACCCAGAATTAATGGAAGGGATAAGTTTTTGCATAGAGCATCTCTAGAATTATCCGTGAAAGTACAAAGTATCATTGAATACTGTGCTAGACCAGAACGTGGAGACGTCAATTTCGGGAGGTCGGTCGTAGATAGTGGTCTGTTTCTTGTTCCAGAGGGTTTGGTCGTATTTTGGTCTTGATTAAAGGACTGGATTGATTTTTATCTTCTCAGGTAATGTTTTCAGCGAATGTTTACTCATAATTTTTATTCTTAATTATCTGATGTGCTTTAATTCTTGCATTCTCCTTCGCTTAGAATTTACAAATTAAAAATTTGGAATCTGTGTTTGAGATACTTGCTGTTTTGCTGAATTGTAAAACTGAATTATCGCTGAATATGTTTCGCCTTTTGGGAGTTTTTATGTATCATCTACTTCTATTGCTAGTCATAGTACTTTTCGTCTAATCACGATGAAGTGTAACATCTTCATCAACTGATAAAGAACAGTTTTTGTCAAACTAAAAAATTTAGATATTGTGATCATTGTTATTCCTTGAGCAACCAATTTAAGCATATTTCCCTTTAATATTTCGTAGTTCCATACAGTGTTATTAAAAATGTATTGACCGAAGTTTCCATTCTCTAACTTTTGTATTGATATGAGATGTTTCATCAAGCACCTTTATTATTGGTGTTTTAAACGAGTTTTAGCTAGTTTCATACATTGCAATTCAGTTTTTTGAATTCCAGTTTGAAGCCGTAGCTCATGTTCTTGTACTAATATTGTGGTCTATATTAGTTCTATATTTTGTTTCAATGTTTGACCGTTTGTACTCTCTCTATGGAAGCTTACCACACTAACATTTCAGTTTCAAACTTCCGAAAATGGCTCAAGAGCAGTCATCCACTTGTCCTACTGACTCCTCAGCTGAAGAACAATCATCCAGTCATGATACTGATTCGTCGGCTGCAGTACGGGTATCGATTAATAATTTTGATTGTGGAAGGGTTCTTTTTTTATTCAATTTCTGTTACTTATTACTTAAAGATTTTTTCCTCATAAAATATTTATTTACATCAACAATCGAACCCAATGGTATTGCAGTAGGCAGTAAGGGGCATTTTACTGAAATTACTTCATCTACATTACGTTATTAGTGTAAACGTAAGAAACATATATCAGTTTTAAGTTTAGTACTGTAATTTTTTAAATGCATAAATTGTGGTTTAATACCAGTGATGATCTAAAATCCTAATGTTTGCGTATTAAATCAGGAAGTAAAGCTACGTACCGTTGAAGCTGTTCGAGCAGCAAATGCTTTACCTAAGCTTTCAGAAGGATATGAACTGTGTGCAAGCTTTCCGGTATTTAGTGCTCTCATGCTTCAGCATCAAAGAAGGATTATTTCTTTGTATGTTATGTATTTATTATTCCTTCAGGTCAAATATATCAAATTCAGTTTCATTCTACTAATAATTTTCTAGAATGCGTGATGTATTTCGAAATGCTGGTTGTGTTCTCTCAATACCTACTGATAACATGGATATAGATGAGCTGGCAGATCGTATTGGAGAGACTAATGACATTATTTATGAAAGGGCTGTATGTTATTTTTTCTCATTCACATCAAGTTTAACAACGTTGTAAGTAGTTTGCAACTTTTGATTTCATCTTTAGAAATTGATTATTTAGGGTATCTTAATCGATTTACTGAAAAAAGCCAAGACTATGGACGAAGTAGTTATACCCCAACAAATAGTAGATGCTGAAACTACAGCTATAGGTCAGTGTAATCTGCTTGAAAACCAGAGTCGTTATTCATCGCTTCTGGCACGTCTACCAAATTCTAAGAACAAGCCCGATGAGCTAAAAGTTGATGATACTGATGGAGCCCTTCTTGTGAGTTTACTAGTGAGAAAGATCAGTTTTGATTTTTGAGGAGATCTTTATTGATTCAAGTGAGGAATCTTCATCAACATATTCTGATTATTCATTATAACACTGAAGTCGATGAGAGTTTTTTATATGATTCTGCGTTATCCTTTTCCTCATCAATTTTAATATAAGCATAAATGTACTACAGTCATTTAATATGAAGCTGTTCATGACTATTTTCTGGTTTGAATATCTCAAATTGTATTTGATGTAGGCAACATGATTGCAGGCTGTGAAGGAAAAACCTCAGGTCGTGTATGGCATTGAAGTTGATAACAGCAATTCAAGATTTATTCCAAAATTAAAAAATAAATATCATGAACTAGAAACTTCTTTGAAAAATCTGTACATTGTTGACGAAAGTAGTGATGGTATCAATACTAGCAATTTGTGGCGCTCTGATGAAGCTGAAAGTTCACATCCTTACAGTAGAGAACTGATACATTTTAAGGTTGGCTTTTTATGGTCTAGTGGTTTCATACATATATCAGATTCGTTTCATGTGTTTTGTTCAGCCGTGACTTTATTTATTACTAGTTATTGGAAGTTTGTTTTTCTTCAGGTTCCAGAGAAGCAGTTAAGCACTGGACTGGTTCATCCTTTGAAGGCAATATCTGACACAGAACTCACTTATGTTGAAAAGCTAGATCAACTGGAGAAGTTGCGAGAGATTTTAAACATGGGGACAGAATTCAGTGTGGATCTGGAGGTGTAAATTTCTCGAGTTCTCGACTTGTTTTTGAGGGATTCGGGAAAAGAATTTTCTGAATATTCTCAATTTCGTAAATGATGAATTATTAAGCCTATATGAAATTTGTTTCTTTAAGAAAGATTTGTTAAGGCATTTAGCTGATCCGGCTTCATAAAGCAATTTTTTTAATATATTGCAGCACAATTGGCATCGTTCATTTTTGGGATTAACTTGTTTGGTTCAAATTTCAACTCGAACTGCTGATTATATTATTGATCCATTTCCACTCTGGAATGACATGCATATATTAAATGAACCGTTCACGAACCCCAATATTCTAAAGGTAACACAGCAGCTTATAATAAATTTAATAATGGTAATGCAGAGTTCGCTAACTACTGTTCTAAGTGCAGTTAGCATGATAAGCAGTTTCCTTCTTATATGTTGCAGTATATGACTGGTTTTAGTTGTAAATATTGTTTTCAGGTTTTTCACGGACCAGAATCTGATATTCTGTGGTTGCAGCGGGACTTTGGAATTTACGTCGTAAATATGTTCGATACTCATAAAGCAATGAAGGCTCTAAATTTCTCCAAATTTTCATATCATCATTTAGTGCAGAGCTATTGCAAACATACTTTAGATAAAAAGTTGCAAAAAGCTGACTGGCGTAAAAGGTTATTACTTAGTATCTCATTTTAGTTCGCATTCATATCTGATATCCAGTGAATTAGATTTTGTCCATCGATTTGAAGACAATTTTTTATTCTTTTAGACCACTTAGTGATGCTCACAAAGTGTATGCTAGAAGTGATACACATTATTTGTTACATTGTTATGACCAACTTCGAAACAACCTTATCGCCGCTGGAAATGGTTCTAGCAGTCTTTTAAGTTCTGTTTATGCTGAATCCACTAAAATTTGTGCAAGTGTTCGTTTTGACTGTCACCGTTATCTCTTTTTTGTCATTTTTTGGTCGTACTAATGTTTGCTCATTTTGACTATCAATACCATTTTGAATGTTCATGATCTAATTTTAACAAACTAATTTTCTCGGTCTTATTTCAGCTTCCCTTTTTTTGAAAAAACCTTTGTTGTTTTTATTTTTTGTAGAGATTTTTTTAGGTTTATGAAAAGCCAGTGTTTATTAGTGACGGTTACGAAAAATTGTTAACAGGAAGAAAACCACTAGATTCTCGTCAACATTTCGCTCTGAAGGCCTTATATAAATGGCGTGATGAGCAAGCAAGAACATACGATGAAAGTCCACAGTATATCTTACCCAATCACATGATGTTACAGATCGCAGAGGTATCAGAGTTATTCTATGATTTGAGCACTTTTTTTCCTATTTCTAGTTTATCTTTTTCGGGGACTGAGATATTTCTTTTTCAAGAGAAAAAGAATCAGTTTAGTTAATCTTGAGAGGACTCTGAGAAATTTTGTTATTGCATTTGAAGAAAACAAAAAGTTGGAAGTCTTTTTATGAGTAGATATTAATTTAGGTTCTTCCACGAGAGATGCAAGGTATCTTGGCATGTTGTTATCCGATTCCAGTGCATGTTAAGCAAGAGTTGCACTCCCTTCATCAAATGATTAGCACAGCTCGCGATCAACCTCTTGTTAAACCTTCAATTTATGGACCTTGCACTGGCCCGCTGAGTTTCGAAAATCTCACTTTCCGGTTGAATAGAATGACTCCACTCAAAGCACTATTAAGGTCAGTATGTAACATTATCGGATATTGATTAGGACAAAAAAACCACAAAACTTTATTTTTACTCCGCTATAAATGTATAATGCACTCTTTAACATTGATAAAATCATAGGTGTTCGGTTTTGTGCTTCCATTTTCGTGTTTATGATCAAATTAAATTTTTACGTGTTTTTTTTATTATTTTCCGTTTGAATTTTAGATTTTTCATTCATTTTTGCCCGTCTACAAATTTTATTTTTTTAAGTCATTTTGATTTCTCTTCAACCAAATATAATGAAGAAATCCGTCCATTGGTGGTGCAAGATGTGGGTAATGCAGTTCAGGAGAAGTCTGCTATAAATTGCGCAGATCCTCCTACAATTTATGTGCTTGGCGAACAACCTGTAATAGAAACCGAACGTTTGAACAGAGTCAAAAAGAGACTAGAATCATGGGCTACACCTTATGAATGCTATCAAGTAGCAATAGCTCAACGAAAAATGAGATTAGAAAAGGAGGTATCATTAACTTCACTCTGCCAACATCACCTTGTAAAATTTGTTCACTACTGCGTGAAAATCACTGAGTACTCTAAATATTACTTTAAAATTTTTGGTAAGTACACGGAAGAAAAGGTAGATCTTCTAAAAGTGAACATTAATTTTTTAAATCATTTCATTCTAGAGTCAGGAAGCAGAAGCAAAAAAGACTGATAAGACTGAGCACCGTAATGCTGAAGGTAAGAAGTTATGGTCTCATCTTGATCCACCCGCAAACAAACCTGAGTATCGTGAACAAAAGGTTAATAATTCATGCTTCAAATAGTTAAACCCTCAAATATCTCATGAAGTCTTCTAATTTACGTAAGTTTTTTTCGGAAGCTGTCAGACCATTTTAAGAAATTTTTTTTTGTTCTTTAAATTAATTCTGAGAATTTTATATTAGATGAAGGACGAAAAGCACAAATTCCAATCGTAGCGATTAATTTATGGCATGTAATAAACCGTCTTGAGGTTCTTTTCTTTCTTTTTTTGAGTTTGCAATTTCAGACAGTAGTCGCTGAATTACAAATAGAAAATGAGGCTCGTAAAAATGTGGCTCAAGAAATAATCATTGACGAGGGAATGACCTTAACGAAGGAGAAGTTAAAACATAAAAGGAAATTGGTAAATTTCTTCTAAAAGTTTAAGTTCGTGACCATTCAGATTGAGTTTGAAAAGTCTGGCAACTCAAAATATAAAAAAATTTTTGGCTAAAATCAATCACTGTTGTAGGCATCATCAACGGTCAGCATTCCAGTACCGGAGAAGACAAATAGGACGGAGCTAGCTCATTCGGAAGATGTTAAAAACAGAAGTCATAGAAGTAATTGGACTGTTGCGGCAGAGAAGTGCGAGGAGCAAATGGATTACGATGTACTTGATCGTAATCAATTCAACAGTCAGTACCTTTTATATTATCTAATCCTCAGAGAATGTGGGAGCTTTTTTGAAAAATATGAATATAACATTTCTTCACCAACTAAAGATTTTCATAAAATAATTCTTTGCAGCAGGTGCTACATCAAGTTCCAATGTATATGATCCATTTAAACGAAACAGGGGTGGAAATCGCTATAGCTCAGGTCGCGGTATATCGATGCAAACAAAAGCGAAACCGTGGAATAAATAGAGAAAATAATCATTCAGATATTACTCTCATAATCTTTTTTTTTAAATTCCAGATGTAGTGCTAATTGAAACTGGTGTTGTACTTCATTTTTAGATTTGTATTACCTCATCTTACTAATGCTCATTTGCATCTTCACTGTTCTTAATTTTCTTGTAAAAAATTAAAACTGAAAGCCGGTGCAAGTTTATTTTATTTCCCATATTCGGTCATCGAAAATCTAGCTTTTTCACTTGAAATTGTATTCTTTCTCACACCTTCATATTATCTTCTGAATCGTTCAAAAAATAAAACTGCAATAAATGCGTGATGTTGAATTAATCTTTATAGAGGAAGGATTTCACTGAAATTAAGCAAAGTGAACATAAGTACACTTACTGAGTAAGAGATTAACAGAGCTGTAGTTTGTAATTTATCGTTAGAAGTGATAATTGTTAACAGTTTGGAATGAAAGTTCTGTGTTGTCTGGCGGGAATTTGGGATTTAAATATTTCTGGAATGTAATTAAAGCTAGTAGTGAAGAAAATGGTGCAGAGTAATAGTGGTCAAGTTGCTAGAAGTAGATGTAATGGGCGATTACGTTAGTTACGGTGGTGTGAAGAATGTATTATCTTGATCTTGGAAGTATTTAAGGGATGTGCACCTCAATATTTAGCCTAACATTATGTGTCATTATTTGATGGCTGGCGGTTTGTGTGATTAATATCAGTTCAGTATATTACATGCGGGATTGGCATCATATTGAAATTCCGAGTATGCGGTACGCTCAGTTTTGTTACAAGATGCCTCAAATGTCATGTCCACACCAATCAGTCCAAATGAAACATTTGAGTATGGCATTCAAAGCATATCCTTAGAATTGCGTTACTACTCTTTTTTTTTGATTAGCACGAATTACATTTTTGGTTTTGATAAATACAACTTTTTTATATTGTATCTTGCAAAATTACATGGCTGAGTTGAAACCAGAAATGTAATTCATGCTGGTTGTCAAAAGAAGGCACTGTTTTACTATTGCGTCATATCGATTAAAGATTTTAGCTACGTGAGGCCAAATCAGTGATACTAAGTCTTCGCTATTCATGATTGACTTAATATTTTGCACAACAAATCAGCTCAAGGCAAGAAATGTTTAAGAAACTTCACGTTTCAAAGCATTAGTGACAAATATACTAATTTTATTAAATACATATTAAACTCATAGAAATACTTTTTAAAATTTGCAGTCACAAATTACCATTGTGGTAGGAGATCAGGCATTGATACATCTAATCATTATTCTTTTTATATCATTTTATTTGATAAAATTAATGTTATCTTTAAAATACAATATTTCGTTAAAAAATTGCAATTATAAAAGGAAGTATGGTTTAGTTAGTCAGTCTGTTTTTTGTTTTTTTTTTCAGTTCATACAAAAAGATAAGGCTTATTGTAACAGTATTTCATGAAAATAATTAAAATCTAAGTAATATTTGCTAAAATATAATCAAAACATGCTTAATATATTTAATCTCAATAACAACTTTCAAATCAGTCATATTTTTACAACTATAGATGATGATATTTTTGTCGACTTCATTTTTGCAATATTATTTCATAGCAGATTTTTCTCACCAGATTAATTAAACTCATATATATGACTTCAAGAAAAATTGTATCAATTCTTAATCACAAAAAATGTTTTTAACAATTTGATGATTATGTCAGTAATATTGTTGTGATTCTAATTTACTCATGATCATTGATTGCTTCAGATACAAAGAATTAATTAGTGCTTAATGTAATTGTTATGACTGAAAAATTTTTTCACACTTATCTGTTGTTAATTTTTTTTTTTAATTTGAAACACAGTATTTATAAGTGGTATATCTTTTGATTTTTATCATATTTTAGAATATTTTTTAATAATTGTATATATAAATCAACAACTACTATTACCTTTATCGTCTTTTTTTTGCTAACTTTTGATAACTTCATTCATTTTTATGTACTATAATTTTTATTTATTTTTTTAACAATTATAAGAATAAATTGATAGTTATATTTTTCAGATTATTTTTTCTCAAAATTATTTTACAGTTGAAAATCAGTAAGCAATAAAATAGAATTTATAATTGTATATTATTTATTATTATTATTAATGTTAAAAGCAAATAGAAATAATTTTTGATATGCAATCTAGCTGATCATTCTCATTTCTTTTTCCGCTTTTCATTTTAATTGTGTATTCAAGCAGAGGATATCATTCATTCATTGACAATTTACATTCATACTGTGTAATTCTGAAGGCGTATCCTTTGCAATTATTCTTTGGGCGGAACACAATTATTTGCTTAGAATATTTTCATTGGTAAAATAACAAAGTTAAGTCAGTCATTTATGACATCTTTGCTGTATATTTTACTTTCTTAATTATCTTTATTTCTATATTTTACTCTCCTAATTAATTTAATTTGTTTTTTTTTTATTTCCACTAATTATCTTGCGCACATATTAATTTTTAGTTGCTTTATGAAAAATTAGCAAATAATATTTTTATTTTTGAAAATATCTTTGAAAATTACTTTTGAAATTTTGTAGGCTAATAAACGTTCATTACTAAATAAGCACATTGTTAATTTCAATTTCAAATTTGAAAAATAGTTATGATTTGAAATGAAGAATAACTATAACTTTGTGATAAAATATGCTTTGTAAAGATATCAAATGAATAAAATAAAATACTGTTGAATTTTATTTGATATTGTGATATCCTTTATCTTATGCAAATTACTTCATTTTTATTAACATTTCTACTTTAAAAGTAGCTCTTAAAGTTGTATTATTTTTATAAATATGTGCTAAAACTGATAATTTATTTTGTTCCTTGCAAAATTTCTTAACTCTTATTACGATATACTTTTTATTTTTATTTTTTTCTGATAAATTTTTATGTGCTTACAGTAGTTTATTACAAAAATACTTCATTGCTTTTTTACCTTTGAAGAAATAAAATTTACGTTAAAATATCAGTGTGATAACAAAGTTGGACTCATTATATTAGCAATGGCTGAGTCATATTTATGATGCAATATTAATACAAAAGTGAAACAAATTTTGAATAACATAAATTATTATTTATTTTATTGCCATGAATATGTATTCTGTATTTTTTCTACCAATATCTTTTGTAATCTATTTTTTGATGAAGGATACTATAGTATAAATGAAACTGTCATACACAACCATAAATTAGTCCGAAAATTTATCAAGAGAATATATAAGTGAATGAATCAGTGAAAGCTTACTATCATTTGTCAGAAAAACTGTAACTTCAGAATGCTACTCAATTAACACTTGAAATGAAAAGTCTCGTAGTTTAATTTTAGTTAGTCTTTTTATAAGGCTTTTAATCACATTGTGTTTTAAGTGAATAAGTTGATCGAATGTGCAACAATATATTAACAGTTTTATAATTACTTGAAATACTAAAGTTTAAAATTTTATTAAAATATTCATCAATTCGGATTCATACTGTTATACAAAATTTGAATTTAATATTTTGATTCCGAAAACTTGAAATTCAACAATCATTCATACTGTTTTACTTGTTATTTCACTTTTACTTTAACATCGCATACTATTTAAGACAACTGGAAATTAATAAAATTAACTTTGTTACTATATCAATATTTTCAAAATAATTTTGTGCGTTTTTTACCAATCGAAGCCTACATCATGCTACATTCATTATCAATTGATTCTTTTGTATAATCTTTGTATAGTGAAAATAAATGAAAAAAAATCTTTTTTTTTTAAAGCGAAATGAATCGACACTTTGTATCAAACCAATTTTGACGCGAATTACTAAATTCCACGTTACTGTCTTATCACTTATTGCTTACTTACTTTAGTGTTATTATTTACGCTTCTATAGTTGTTATCTCTATAATTTAAATCTCATTTGCTATTGTATAATAAGTAAACAAACACTTTTGATTCAGCTAAATTAGCAATATCCCTGCTCAAATTAAGTATTAATCTCTTATTTCTGCACTCCTACTTGCTTCTTTTTGCTTATAAAAATGCTAAAAAAAATTATGCTGAAACAAGCAATCACGCAATTTTACAGATAATCATTCCTGTGTCTCGTGTCACAAGTCAATTCGCCTTCATTTTGTCGAAAAATTGCCATCAAAATTGAAGGAGCTGAAATAGTTACCAACCAACCGATCATTACACTTCCAGAAGACCACAAACTATCATTACTTTTTTTAACTATTTCTACAATTATTCACAGCTTGACGCCTTTTCTTTGTTACCATTGCTTAATATTTCTAATTTAGTATTCTAAACTAAAATTGAAATATTTATTTGAAAAAATAAACGCAACTTCTTGTGATATTAAACACGCAAGTGTTCCAGAAAAATGCATTTTGCTTGTGAACAATGAATTGTTAACTGTGTAAAGTGAACAAAATAAGTCCGAAAATCTTCACTTGGAAATTGTAAATTTGTCGTTGATCGACGCAAAAAAATGACTTCGCATGCTCTGTATTACATTTTAACAACTATTCTACTGTTTGCTGTAGTCAGAATTAATCACAGCTCCCAAACTAATTTCAGTAATAGTGGCAATGTTCATGTACAATTGCAAGAACTACGACTGGGACAGTGAGTTAATTTGCACATTAATAATTAATACATTAGCACTTTATGACATGTTTTTAATCTTTTACACTCAATTAAATATTGAAAAAGCTTAATAATTATGTTAAAATAATGCGTTTACAGTTTTCTTTTATTTAATAAAAGCAATTAATTTGCAATAATGTAATTATTATTAGGTACAGCGGACTTAATTTTTCGTCTTTTAAGCATTATTAATTGAGATTAACATCATGTTTCCATATGAATAAGAAACTAATATATTTCAGTACTAAAAATTGATCCACAATAAAGAAAAAAAATGCTGCTTTCATTAATGAAAGAATTAATTTAAATATTAATATTTTCATTTCGTTTCGTGACAATTCGCACATATTCCCAAGCATATGAATTAAGCTAAAATTTTGACAAGAAAAAAAAAGGAGATATTTCTGTATAAGTTATAAATTATCTTCTAATTTTTAGCTTTGCAATCATTTCGTAGTCTCTGACATTTTCTTTAATTTTTCATTATTTTAGATTATTAATGATAATTTGACTCGTATAATTTTAAAAATAAGTTTATTTCTGAAAGTTTTTTGTCAATTATTTTGCTATTTTCTTCTTCAAAAATTATTCATACGCTATTTTTCAACAATTTGCTTACTTTGTTTATATATCCGTTAAGATTAGTAACAAAAAAAAATTTACATAGTTGATTGACAATGATTTTTAACGAGCACATACATATTCGTTACTGAATTTATTTTATCGCAAACGAAATTGCTTGAGAAAGAAAAAATAATTTGGCGGCCAAGTTTTATAATAAATTTAACACTTTACTGTAATTATTATTGCTAATTTTCATTGCTGAAATTATTATTATCATTGGTAGCACTATAATCTTTTCAACTATTCTTCTTTAAGAGCAAATGAAGGAATTTAGGGTATGAAAATAATGTGTTTAGATTATATATATGCACATGAGTAATGAGTTTCGACAAAATTTTCCTATACTTGAGGTTTTTGAAGTTATAAAAAATGGTTTGCTAGAAATGCTCTAAATTAATATGAAAAATTGAAAGGCTAATAATTGAAATTAAATACATATTTCAACTTCACAAAGTTAATTTTGAAATTGGTTTTTCATTATTTTTTGCATTTTAAATTCTATTTTACTAAATAATTTGTATAAAGAATAATTTATCACAGGACTAGCACTAATTTATTTATATATTTAATTCGAGCCTTTCTTCAAGTTTCAGAAAAAAAATTGTAATATAGGATAAAATTATTAAACATTTCCAGGTCAAATGACCTTGTCTCTAACAAATAATTTTTTTAATGTATATCATATTGATATCTTTTTTTTAGAATATTTATGAGATGTTATTATAGTCTGTAATGAGTAGATATAATTTTGAAAAAATTATCACATTCTCGAATTCTCATCAATAATTATCTGCTATTTGCGTTTTGACTCAAATTAGTGTGGAGAATGATGGAAGATAATTTTTTTTTTCTAGACTTTTGTGAGGTTAGAGGGGTTAAAGGTTAACACATTTATATCTTAGGTGGGAGATTATTCATTCATATTATTGGCATTATCGTCGAATTATTACTTCATGCTAAGCAGATGTACATTTTATCTTTTTTCTTTTGTCATTAGTTATCAAAAAATTCTTGCAGATGAATAGACTACCGAAATCTTTATCCATGCAGTAATCTATAATCTAACTGATAGTCTATACTGCCATATTGGTTGGGGTCATTTCCTTTCAAATAATAAAATTTTTATGAAGGTATGAAAGTAAGTGCTGAAATCATTACATTTTAATATATTCAACACTGATGTAAACTGCTTTATATGCATGCTTCTTCTAATGAGCACAAACCATTGTTCTAAACTTTTCGTATAGACCAAAAAACTTTCCACTTTTTTCTATTCCCTCCTCTGTATTTCTAACTCTGAATATTTAAAGCGTACTATGCTCAAAACTTAAAATATCAAAGCTTAAAATATTTGTATTTTTCAAAAAAATAAATAAATTTTTGATTCACTTTGACAAAGAAAAGAGTTTCTAAAATTTTTCGCATTTTAGCTAATGTCAGATGGAATACTGTTATTGCAAACATGATAATACTTTACTGTTTATGATTCTGTTAGTCAAATCAAAGTTCAATTTTCGAAGCAAATTTTGATGCGTTTTCAACTTCTTAAAATATGCAAATGACAAAATGGATGACTCTCAGCTGTCGAATGTGAATTAGTGTATTGATCATTGGAGTATGCTTCAGTGCGTATGGATACTTACTAAGAGTATTCTTATTCTTTGAATTTTCAAATACCCTGCTGAATATTCGTGAAACTTTCCGTGGCTGGTACCTAAATTTTTACTTTTATCAAAAAAGTAAATCGAACGTGATGAAAATAGCACATTTGTTTGGATATTTATACAAAATTATGCTGCTAATAACATCAAAAAGCATTTAAATTTTATTCTCGACATGCATTACAAACAATTTTGACTATTGTTGTTGATACAACATTGAGATAAAGCAAGTAAAGGATCAAATTTACAACGGTATTTTGATTAATATAATTTATAAAAATACAGTATATTACCGTAAATGAAGGAATTTAATAACATGTTGTTTGGATATTTCTTCAAGCTATTTACAAAAACTTGACTGAATCAAAGAATAAAGAAAAGAAGTTTACAAGTGTTTACCTTCAACAGAAATTTTGCTATTCGTTAAAATTTTTGAAAAGTTTAATTAATTTTAATCCTTCTCAACATAAGTCATGTGTAAAATTCATTCCATTTGTGGTATGCGTTGTTTTTTTTTTCGCCAACAATATCTATTACATATCATTGATATTACCATTCATTCGATTTAAAAATTTCTATTTTTGAAAATATAATTTTGCTCTTTTACAAGACAGCGTTATATTTTTTAATAGAAAGAAAAAATGACACCAAATATGTTTGCATTCATAATAATGATAATAATAATAATAGGTACACAAGTACAAATACAATAAATAATTGAATTTCATATTTACAAAAGAAGAATGGTGATAAATTGTTGCAAATTTTATTATCGACAAAAAGATTTATTTCGTTTGCTTTAATTTCAGGGATATTCTCTAATATCGCCACTAAAATGCTTTATAATTCAAAAATTTCTTCAAATTATATTGAATTGAAAAATGATAATTAGTACTACACAAGTAAATCTTGATAATATTACTCAGATATGTGTGACTGCAATGTTAGAGTCATGTCTAGATTGTATTCTTAATCATAGAATTTTGTGATAAAATCGTATTGATATATGAAAAATGACAGCAACAAGTAATTGTGAATTTATATTTAATATATTGAGAGTCAGTATTAAAAATTTTTCCGAAAAGACAAAACATTTTTTTTTGTCTTAAAAAAATTGTCATACAAAAGACACATGCTAAATTTTTTGCATTAATTTGCGTTTTTAAAAATAATTTAAAAAAATGATCACTAATATATTGTCAATATTAATGACAATAATATCAAACAGTTATCTTGACTATGATTTATATATTATTGTTGGAATAAATAAAAATATTCCAGTAGTTAATCAACTGAATTGAGCCAGACAATGTATTCATTCTTTCTTGACATAATTTACATATAGACAGATGATTAAATGGTAAGATTAAGAAAAAAACAGCTAATATATGTCAATCTTTGTGTTCTGAATTTTAAAAAAAAATTGGAAAAATAACTAGGATAATCACAAATCTCCAAAGAGTAGTATTTTCGGCAACAGATTAATAATGCTTAAAGTTAAAGTTAGTATGACAAATTACATAAAGAAATAGCCTTGCTTGTTTGGTATTTGATTAATCCAAGTTTTATTACTTGATCACTTGATTGATCTTCTGGCAGTCATCTTATTGAAAGTACAATTTTATAGACGAATTCATAAAAATTTTTTAATTTTGGAAAAAAAAAACTTCGTTGTTGTCATAGAAAATTTCTATTTGTGCTTACAAAGATTTAAGAAACATTTGCCTCAATTATTTTAAAGAAGATCTTTGAAATAGTATTATGTACGAGCAAAGCTTGTTAAGAGTATAAGTAACTGCAAGTAGAATAAAAAATAGTCGAAACTTTGAAATGTAGCACATTTGTTGTAAATATTTGCATAATTATCAATGAGGAAATGTCAAAAGCATTTTGATTCAGCTGCTCTAAAGTGAATACAAAAGGTCACTTCTAATATAATTGCTCAATTTGACCAAATAAATCTGCTAGTTATAAAATTGTTAAGGAGCAAAAAGTGTGCTACATTGTGCAACGATTAATTATACTTTGTTAGAAATAAATAGTATTATGTGTTGTAATCAATGCAAATATCAAATTAATTAGAGAAAAACAATAGTGATGTGAAATTAGTTCGTTAATTTGTGCAAAGATATAATGGAAAATTATTCATTCTTGAACTAAATGTAATCAGAATTACATGCATACGATTGTAAACAAAACTGCAAAGAAAGTATTGCAAGTGTAGTGGTCATCGGCTATTGCATCTATCTTTCATAAAAATCGTTTTGTAGTTGTAAATTCTGTAAATATAAAAATTGCTTTAAATTTTCATACTATAATTAAAAAATTTATAATTTAATAATTAATAAATAAGGAAATAATTTCTTATATTATTACAGAATAAATGTTTGTCCATATGAAGAAATTGAAATAGTAACAGTACGTGAGCCATGCGTGCAAGCATATACGAAGTATATAAGAAGCCGAAAACGTGGTTGTAATGGACAATTTCGATCTTGTTCTGTTCGAGAGCCTAAGTAAATTTTTATTCATTTTTATTAATAAAATAATGTTCTTGTGCTTTTTTCATTTAACATGTAATAATGTTCTTGTGCTTTTTCATTTAACATGCAATTAATTAATTAATTAATTAATTGACTGACCAATCAATTATACATATGGGAAATGAATGTATAAAAATTTATGAAATTTTCAAGGTTATCACTGATAACATAATATACCAAAAATTAAAATTGCCATCATACAAACTGCATGCATTTCTTAAGAAAGAATGACCGACTTCACTATTCTCTCTTACAACAAAGCACTGAAAACATTAATCAAATTAGTTGGCACAATTCGTATATTTTCATTATTTCTCATTTATCTTTTATCTTTTTTTCATTTTTTAATATTTTTAAATGTTCAAATAAATTGCTTTTTTAAAATTCATATTTTCATAATTCAAATATAATCTGAGAAATAAAAAAGAAGAAGATAAATCGAATTTACACTATGCATTACAATTTATTACATACAACAGACTGAACTGTCATTAAAAAACTACAGCTAGCAAAACCAAATTATAATCATTCACCTGAAATGAATTAAATCATTAGAGCGTTTATTTTTAATCTAAATAGAAATTAAAATAGTCAAAAAACAAACGTACTGTCAAGTATGGATTTTGATTTTTACATTATATTTCTCATTTTGATGAATGAAAAAGAAATCTAACGTTAATAGTAATCAAAAAAAAAAGTGTACTGTCATATTGCTGATAAATTGATAGATATTTATTGTCAGTCGCTTTAGATTATAAGCGATAAATATATGCATTAATTTGATTTTTTTGATTAATCGTTCTGATATAACGACAATGTTAGTGAGGTGCGCAGGTGCTAATAAATGACCTTTAACACTAACCTGTAATTAATAGTAGTTCATTATATCATTTCGATGAATCGACTTTTCTTTTGGTAAAAGAAAAGGGAAAAATCATGCAGAATGAATTTTTACTCTCAGAGGGAAACAAACAATAATGTGTCAATTTTAGTCAATTTTGCTTAAATATTTACTAGCTTAGATTTATCTAGCTCACTTAACTAACTACTGTTAGTTACAGTAGTCTTAAATCAACTATTATTTTATTTGATATGAATAGAGTAAGAACAAATTTTGAACAAGATTATATTCTCTGAAAAATTCAATAAATTGTTTCAGTGATTTGATTTAATTAGTTAGAAATTAGTATATATCGAATACAAATTTGAATACTTTTTTATTACAGGATAGTTTATTATCGAACTTACAAGAATGTTACACGAACTAGAAGACATATCACTGCACAATGCTGTGCTGGTTGGATTCAGCTCCCAGGCAAGGATGGCTGTCAAAGAGGTAGCTTGTTTTTGCATCCATTGCTGCTTAAAATAATTTTCTTCAATTGAATTTTCCAACTTTGACTTTGTAACTATTAATTAGGGGACTTATTTCTCTTTATAACAAAACTAATTTATAAAATTTGATGAGAAAAATAATGATTGAGTGAGATGTGAATTAATTTTTATGTCACTAAAATCATAATTGATATTTCATGTTTGCAAAACCGTATAGAACAGTAGTAGTAATTGAAAAAGTTCCGGAGAGATTAATTTGTAGTTTTTTTGAAAATCAAATGTGAATAAAATTAAGCTTCAATTAAAAAGATTACTCTCACAAATAATACTTTCATTTTTGTTTCAAATATTTGATTAAATATGTATTCTAAAATGAAAAGTTTACTTTAAAAGAATGGAAAGAATAAAGTATAGTTCAAAATGAACTTTTCAGAGCAGTTCATAGTTTTTCAGCAAATTGTACCTCAGAGTTATGTCATAACGGAGGAACTTGTCTTTTGTCTGAAACGGAAACAAATGATAAAATTTGCAAGTGTCCTGCAGGATTTCAAGGAACTCGATGTCAATATGGTATATCAATTTTTATCTATACGCTTTTATCACATTTCAATTTTTTAATTTTAGTAAATTTTTAAAAATTAAACAGATCTTTGTTCTGAATTTAGAAATTATTATAAGATTTGCATTTTTTTTTTGTTGACTATTTTATATAAATATTCATTAAGACATAAATGAATGCTTAATTGCAAATGGTGGATGTTCTCATGATTGCGTAAATACGATTGGTACATATTATTGCCGTTGTTTTTCTGGTTTTGAGTTGGATGATAATGGAAAATGCAGTGGTACCTTTTTTTTTTCATATTGCGGCTATTTTATCATAATTAATTGAAATATAAAAACAATGTATTTGATTCATTTCAAGATAATTTTTAATCTCATCAAGACTTTATTTATTAGATTTCAAATTTATGGTATTTATTGTAACACTTTGAACAACACAACTGCTGCTAATCAAATAAACTATGTTTTAATATGCGCTAATTTGTTTGCATTATTTAAATTTTTTTATAATGGTTTTATTTATGCATTGAAAATATTCACCAGACATTGATGAATGCCAATTTGAAAATGGTGGTTGTGAATTTCGATGCTTGAATACAGAAGGTGGATTTCGATGTGAGTGTCCACCAGAAATGCAATTACATTCTAATGGCCGAAAATGTGTTCGTAAGATTATTTTTATCTTTTAGTACACTTTGACCGAGACAAAATTTGTATATACTGACTTATCTAACTTTTCTATACACTTAATTTATGAAAGTGAGTAGCTTCCTAATACAGACGCATTCATAGCTTCCAGTTTTTGCTCGTAAAAGTCATGTAATGAACGTTGTTAACTTTTACGAGCAAAAACTTGTCTGTAAATATTTTTCAGTTAATTTAACTTTTCTTGTTAGATAATTTGGTAAAAGTGAAAGTTTACAATTTGAAGCAAATGAAAATGTAGTCATAAATAACTGATAGCATTGAGGTGAAAAAAAAGACTTACTGAACTGAAAAAAAAATTTTTCAATCATTTTGTTTGTAAAATTCGTTGCAATTTTTTCGCTGAAGTAGTAATTAAAAAGAATAAATTATTGCAAATAATTAATAAAGCTTAAGAATGGCAATGTTAGAGTTTGAGGAAAAATATTATTCACTGAATGAGTCAATTAGAAGAAATGCTTGGAAAGTAAAAGAAAGAATAAATATGTCAAAAGGAAACAATGATTAGCGACAGGTGTAAACAGACAGAAATGTTCGATTCGAAACATAAAAAAGACAAATAAATGAATGGATCAGTGAATGATCTGTTGATTGGCAGACTGATATAAATAATGATTATGAATTTAGAACATCTGGACAGGAAGAATAGAACAGTGTGATTACTGAGAATTTAGATAGTTACAAGATGAAGTAACTTGAAAGCAATAATAAAACTCTATTATTTGCAGCAGTACATTTAAGGCTTTATCAAAAAGCACAGTTTTGCATTTTTATCATTATGTTTTTTAAAATTTAAATTAAGTCATGTCAAAAACTGAAGTAATTAATTGATTGATAAAATAGATATTATTTGTTAATAAAAACATTGTTATTTACTTTAGATGATAGCATTTTAATTTTTGGTAAAAATTTTTGCTTGCAAAAAAAACTTTAGAAAAAAAATGAAAGTGGATTAGTGTGGAACATTAATAGTTCATGTATTAAAGGTCAAAACTAGAAATTTTTGTCAAGTTCGTATTAATTCAGAACAGAAGAAAAAAAATTCAGCCCAATTGACTTTTTTAATTATATATGTTTTTTGTTTTTTATTTCTTCATATTCACCAATTCTATTATCATAAAGTGATTGAAAGGTAAACTTTGGAATAAGTATTAATACTTTTTAAATTTCATAAAAAAAAGCAAGTTGGCTTTTAAATTAATGATGTTTCTCCTAAAGTATAAAAATTTAAAAATTTTGCTTTTTCAATAAATTTGTATTTAAACACAAAGTTTCAAATTAATGAAAAATATCTAACTACAAATTCACAAACGTATAATAAGGTACCAATTAGTAGCAAATATTACATAATTTTTTATTTAGAAATTCATAACATAAAGTGATCTTATAATGATCAATAGTTTTCAATTTATTATAACTGCAAAAAATAAAAAAGAATCAAGTAATTTTAATTGTAGTAGTTAATCGTTACTTTATAGGAAGTTATGACAAATATGAACAATAATTTTATTTCATCAAGAAATTTTTGAGAACAAAATTCGTGTGCTAAGAAAAATGGTGGATGTGATCATATATGTGAAGAACGACAAGGAAGATACCATCGGTGCAGATGTCGACATGGGTACAAATTAGCTACTGACAAGAGAAAATGCTATCGTGAGTAAAATTGTGATCATTGTACCTTATTAAAATAACTATTTTATGCTTTTGCATAGAAATGGTGGAAAAAATGTTTAAAGATAGCCTCTGATATATTGAACAAACACTTTGTTAACATTCTCATTACAATAGCAATCACGCCAATCACTAATAATTTGAAGAAATCTTGTGTAATTGTTTAAAATTTGCTCAATGTTTAAGTAGCTTCAGGCAAATTTCTGTATTTGCAAAATAAAATTTTCAATTTTTATTCAATTCTCAGTTTTCTTTATCAAAATGTTATGCATGGAATTGTTACGTATTTTACATACAATTGTAATATATATTTGAGATTTTAATGAAATTACTTATACGACTGTATAATTTACAAAATTGTCTTCTTTTTTTCGTAATATAGGATAGACACGAAATCTATTCAATTTTAATCATCAGAATTTATTTCAGCCATTGATCCATGCGCTATAAATCGTGGTGGTTGCGAACAACACTGTATGAATGATCACGGAAGAGCAGTATGCCAATGTTATCATGGTCTCAGGATAGGAACTGATCAGAAATCTTGCGTTGGTTTGTTAGTTGGAAAATAAATTTCTCATGTACTTCGAATTTTCACGTAAGCAAAGGAAGATGATTTCATTAAATATTGCACAAAGTATTATGAAGTTTTCATCAGTTAGTCTTGCTAAAAGAGACTTTGATATCGTTAAGAAATACGTAAATAGAAATAATGTTGCAGATATTAATGAATGTGCAAAAATGAAGGATGGAAATATGAATAATCTCGAATGCGAGCATGAATGTGTCAATGTTTATGGAGCTTATAGGTACATATTACATATAATTTCCATGAAGGTATGAAGAATGCTTGAGATATTGCTTCTGCACAGATTTAGATCAAGAAAATATGATTATGATCGAAAGCAATCACAAAAATTCTCTGCAATTATATTTTTTACCTTTTATTCTTTTAATATTTGATTTTTTAAACTGCATCATAGGTTTTGCTTTCTTTTAACATTCTATGTATAATTTTTCGAAGCATAAAGAAGAGTGATGTGAATATTTATGTATGAAATGTGCGATCAAATTAAAAAATATGAAAAATGGAGTTCTTTGAAGATGTCGATGCTACCCTGGATTTCAGTTGAAAATAGATGGACATCGATGTGAACCGATAGCTGATCCATGTCAGGTCAATTTTTCTCCTTTGCTTCAAAATGTTAATCTTTTCTAAATCTTTAGTTATGTACTTTGAAGCAGGATATATGACAAAGAAACTTGATAAAACTGACAGAGATAGACGTTTCATATTAATGAGATGAAAGTCACAGAAGAAATAGTTTTGTAAATTACTAGCCAATTTTGAATTGTAGATGCAGAATGGAGGCTGTGATCATACTTGTAAAAGTGATGCAAATGGCAAGATACAATGTTTATGTAAGCCTGGATTTGAATTATCAGATGATGGCAAGAAATGTTCAGGTACAAAATTGCTAAAAATTTTTGAAAAAAAAATTTCGTTAAAAAAAATATGTAGTCAATTGAGTATTTCCACAGATATTGACGAATGTGCAGAAGGCAACGGTGGTTGTAAACAGTTGTGTATAAATTTACCAGGAAGTTATCAGTGTTCTTGTAAAATCGGCTTCCTGATGATTTATGATGGACAAACATGTGAAGGTTTGCCATAATTGCATAGTAAATTTAAAAAATCACTAGTAGCCTCACTCACAGAATACAGAAGCTAACTACTTTTGTATATTTCAAAATCATAATTTTATAAAAGACTATGTGTTTTTTGACCCTGTATGTCTCTATATTGCTTGACAACTAATTATTACCATGTATTAATATCTTGAAAGTCAAATTATAAATCCAATTTCATTAAATGCAGACATTAATGAATGTATTGCGAATAATGCTGGCTGTGAACATCACTGTACAAACACCGAGGGTGATTACATTTGTTCATGCAAAAAAGGATATAGTTTAGCTTCTGATAAGCATTCTTGTCACGGTAATCCTTCCTGCAGTTTATCAAATTTCTCAACATTTTAAAAAAAATAATTTAAAAGGTGAAGTGGAATTTAAAAGCAATGTATTTTGCTTGCACTTAAAAATAATTCTTGCTGTAATTAGTGATTGGACAAGAATATTTTTTAAATCATATTTCAGATATTAGGTATTTAAAACTATGTGAATCTGTTAAGATATAAACTTCTGAAAAAATAAGTTTGAATTTGCTTGAGAGACAAAAATCATATGATGATGATTTTTTAGATATAAACGAATGCTTAATTAACAATGGTGAATGCAGCCATATATGCAGAAATGAAGAAGGTAGCCACTATTGTGAATGTCTCCGTGGTTTCAGGCTTGCAAAAGATCGCAAGACTTGCTTAGGTGTGCATTTTTGCAAATTCTGCTGATGTTATAGTATTGCAGTAAAAATCGGCTGTTTTCAGTTCTTTTATGTAGTGAAAATAATTTGTATCCAAAAACCAAATCCAAATTTAATTTTATTATTTTCCAAAATTTTGAAGGAATACTTAAGTTTTATTTGTGATAACTTTCGAGATTTGTCAATTTTACAAATTTATTACAAAAATTGTAATTGCAGAAGATGACGAGAAGCTATTGTTACTAAGCGATTATTCAAAACATAACGACATGATTCCTTATGAAAGGTTACAGATGAGGAACATAGTCGAAGGTAATACCAATTTTAATAATAACTGGTTAGTTGAGTTCGTAAAATCAAGAAATCACTAACTGAAACAAAACTTGTGGCAGATTTCAAAAAGTTTAGTTAATGAAACAGATTAACAGATGAAATAACAAAAGAACTACAAATTATGCAATCAAATGAATTCTTTAATCAAATAATGATTGAAAACGAGCAATAATTTCAATCTTTCGTTCAAAATTCAGTCTTCTCTTTCGAATTTAATACTTTTTAATAGGCTAATAACCACCCTTGTAAACATTATCTCATTCATATAAATAATCGCTCTAATAAAAGGCAATAGTTTTTATTTTTACACTACAACTTTCATAACATAACGCTTCCATTCAAATCTTTAATAATTTTATAGCGTAAGTGAAGCATTTATGCATTAACTTACACTTATATACATATCTGCTAACGTATAATATCGTTAGCAAACACTTGCTGCAATTTATAAGTTTTTATAATTAAACAAATCAAAGGAACAATTAAAGCATGTATCATTTAATGACAAGTAAATAATTGGTTTCTGTTTTTGAAATTTTCAAATTTAATTACTGAAATTAAACTTTTGTTTGTCTTGAGAACTAATCAAATAGTTTCAACTTACACTTAAATGCATGGATGGTAAGAAAATTTAAATACCATCCTAATGAATTAATAGATCCAGTCCATTAAGAAAAAAAGTTATAGAGTTTACTAAGTTTTCACATAGAAAGTAAAATTAATTAATGTCTTTGAATTTTTGTTGATAAAGAAAAATGTCATATCCTTTCATACTTTTTATTCTTATTTTTTAGTTTAGCATAGAAAAATTGGATTTATTAATTACAATTCGTAAGGGAAAGGAAATATTAAAAAAAAAAAATTATAAATTGTAATAAGATAATTTAGAAAAGCTGAAGATAAAATTAGAAAATTTGTATTCAACTGGAAATATCTGAGAAAAAACTTGTTTTTGGTTAGAAGAAATTTGATTACTTAAGCAAAATAATTTTTTATAAGTTTATCTCTTCAACTTTTTCAGTACTTTAAGTAATAAATTTGAGGCTGTTTTCTCTCATGTAATATTGTTGAACTTATTATTTGTAACACTTATCCAAATATACTTTGTGATGCATATTTTGAATGGAAAATCACATATTTGTTTTTATTTTATTACATGGGCAAACAAAAGTTTTTTCTGATAGGTACGTCTTCAAGCAAAAAATATCATTGCTAATTTGTTGAATATTTAAGTAATGCCAACTTGTAATCATATTGTGTTCTTGGTAGTATTTTGTTACTCCATTCAAAAAAGTAATTCGATAATTGTAATAAGTATTGTCTGTCATGTGTCGCTTTCTTTTTAGCTTGTGAATATGGACATTTTGGAGAAGATTGTCGTTATAAATGTGCTGATTGCAAAAACGGAGGTTTGATTTATTTTGCAAGTGCTAACAATTTGTTGCATGCATAAAGGCTGTAAAATAGTGAATTAAGAATATAAAAATAAGATTAAAAGTGCTCGGTGAATTGTGTTTTTTTGTGCTACGAACGAGTAAAATTCTTGTTATCACTGCTCATTCTAATTCAAACCGCAAAAACACGTTTTTTAAAATTCAAATACTGAAGACCCCAGCTGGCTCAAACTTGTGATGTCATATACTTTGCAGAAAAAAAAGACGTTTACAGGTAAATGTCGTCGTGATAAGAGCGCTTGTGAATGTGCTGCAGGCTACGAAGGTATAATTTGCGAAAAAGTATGCGAAGAAGGTTCGTGGGGGTTAGCTTGTAACAAAACTTGTCAATGTGATGGCCAAACTTGCCATCATGTCACTGGTCACTGCGACTGTCCATTAGGTGCTCATTGTGAAGACACTTGTCAGCCTGGTTTGTTTTCATGCATTTTTATCAGAAATAAAAGTTCGAAAACTTTATTTTTTCACTCCATCTTAGAATAAATCAGAGATAAAAGTTCGGAACTTTGCACTCAAACTAAAAATAGCGATAAATTTGTAAGTATGACAATAACTTGGAAAAATTTGTGTTGACATCGCTTCCAATTAACTGATTACATCGGCTTTAATTGCCTCTTTATATATAGGCTTCTATGGAACTTCGTGTAGTTTACCATGCCGGATGAACTGCACTGATAAACGATGCGACCGAAAATATGGTTATTGTATTTGTCCTGCTGGTTATCATGGTGAAAAATGTAATGAAACTTGTTCGAAGCAAAGTTACGGTCCAAACTGTCATCAAATGTGCAAATGTCATACGAAATATTCCGAAGGATGTGAATCGAAGGTATGAGTGAGTACTACTTGAATTTAGTGATCAAACGATGTGTATGAGAAATATGAAGACGTGAAAAAAAAGGAGCCAAGTTCTGCGTATTCTTGACTTGTTACAGACAGGGAAATGCATTTGTAAAAGTGGTTACTATGGACCATTCTGCGAACGGCGTTGTCCAATTGGCTTCTATGGGCCATCTTGTTTGAAAAAGTGCCTTTGCACAAAGAATCAGCACTGTGATTCAGTTACTGGTCGCTGTTCCAAAAAGTGTCCTCCAGGATACACTGGTGATCGCTGTGTAACTCGTAAGATATAATATCTTATTAATATTATGGAACTATAGAGATAATTAAAAGTTTATCTTGTACATTTGATTATTTGATTTTTCTTTCATATATTATTTTCCTTAACTTCTTTGGGAATATACTGGATCTTTACGTATTTCTCAAAATACCAGATAATCGTGTATCACGTGTACTCTTTTCTTTGCTACTGCAGCATGTCCAGCTGGTATGTACGGATATAACTGCAGTGAAAAATGCAAATGCGCTCACGAGAGAGCTCAAATTTGTCATCATGTCACTGGAACGTGTACATGCCCTCCTGGTTATTTTGGAGCTTTGTGCGACATGCGTGAGTATTTTAATTTGTTAATTTTATGCAAAATTCATTTTTTTCAAAATACTTTGCATCATAATCTGTAACCACATGTTTTGATGTGAAGTGTAGAATGTCAGGTCATTAAAATATTTTGTACCAATATTTTTAATCATATGTATTTTTATTTTGTTATTGAACAGCGAATGGAATTATTTCAACTAAATTATGGTTTTAAAAGTTATGATTCAATCAAATCCATACGTTCTCCTTTTTTTTTGCTACAACAAAATACCACAACAAAAAGTAACAATATAAGTTATTCTTTTTGAACTACGATTTTGCTTTACGTTTCATTTCTCACAAACATTACATGGACTAAATGAATAATTAAATCATGCTAGTATAAGTTTTCTTTCCATCACTCCAGTCACTGATTCTGTGTATAACTACATCTACCACAGACCGCATTTAACACAGTACTTCAGTATTATTACAGAAAATATTGAAAATTTCTTTCAGCGTGTCCTATGGGTTATTTTGGTCCGAATTGTCTATATGAATGCGCTTGTGAAAACGGTGGTTCTTGTAATCCCAGTGATGGCTACTGTATTTGCCCTCCAGGATATTATGGAGCTACTTGCAGCGAAGGTACTGTAAATATAATAATTAGATGAAAATATTGTTTAGTAGTAGAAATTTTAATTTTCATGTTTCTAACAAATATGATAAAGCGCTAAAAAGCCCAAATGTGCTTGCAAATAAATTATAAACGTTAAAGGTCAGAAGGAATAAAAACAAATGATTCAAATGAATTCTGTATTTCTTGCTAAAAGATGTTAAAAATTTTCAAAGCTAGAAGAAAAGTTAATTTGGTAGCACAATCGCGTTTATCTTGATTACTTGCAGAATATATAGCTATTGTAAAATTTATTACTGGTTTTGATAATAATGATGTCAACATAACTTCATTTTACTTACATTTTAATTAATAATTAATTGAGTTTGAAATAAATTTCGAATTTTGATGCTTACATTCATTTTCAGTTTGTCCTAGCAGTAATTTCGGCCAGGACTGTATGCAATTATGTGATTGCTACAATGGTGCCACATGCAATTCTTCTGATGGTTCATGCAAATGTTTGACCGGTTGGAGTGGTCAAAAGTGTGATAAACTATGCGAAAAAGGTTATTTTGGAGTAAACTGCAGTCAAAAGTGTGAATGTGACCGCGGAATGCTATGTGATCCAGTTGACGGACAATGTGCTTGTCCAACGGGATACCGTGGTAGCAATTGTGAGCTGCGTAAGTTTTCAAGATTTGTAAATAACTCAAGTTTCATTTTTCTAAACTGGACAAATATTACAGAATGCGAGCAAGGTCATTTTGGTATTGGCTGTAAAGACATATGTTTATGCAAAAACAATGCAACATGTGATTCTGTTACTGGTACCTGCATCTGCAAGCCAGGTTGGCGTGGTCGATATTGTCACAAACCATGTCCTGATGGACGATACGGTTTAGATTGCAAAAATGTTTGCAACTGCTCCTCTTCAGGTCTATTCCATTTTAAATAAAATCGAGGCTTTATATGAGGTGCTGTGATCTGCATGTTTTAGAAGACACTCAAACAATATCTGCCACACAATGCCATCCAATAACTGGAAAATGCTTTTGTTTTGATGGTTGGACTGGATCTGACTGTCAAACTCCATGTCCTTCAAACAGGTAGGTATCTCAAGCAATATTGATAATCTTAAATAATAGAATTCAAAAAATGTTATCATTCTTTGCTTATTTTATCACATATTCGAAAACGAAAAGATGAAGTAAAAATTATTAAGGTGTCAGGTATTTAGCATTATGAATGATTGCAAGACACTGAACTAAAGAAAGAATTCAGACGGAAATCACATTCTGCTGGTTGCTGTTTTAGTGATTGCGACAAATAGT